AACAGCTCCTTCCAATTCAACAACCACAATTCCCATTCACCGCAGCAACTCCTGTTTATCCTAGCTAAGAATCATGGGCTCTGAAGTCTCCCCCCCCCCCCCCCCTTGGACTGTTGCTTGTGGTAGCTTCTTTTGCAAAAATAATTTTCTGCACTGGTGCCTTTTCCCCCCCCATGGATACAAGGATGACAAGACCCGAATTACGTTTGCTCTCGTTATTTTAATATTTGATGAAACACAAAAGACCCCTCGCATCCTTAAATTGTTTCAACTCCTACCCTCAAAACGACACTATAGAGCACTGCACATCAAAGCAACTAGACACAAGGACAGTTTTTTTCCGTAATGCCATCACTCTGCTAAACAAATAATCAACACCGTCAAACTATTCACTAAGTCTGCATTACTATTACTATTAATCTTTTCATCGTTCCCACCACCCATCTCCTCCCACTTATGATGGCATGGCTGTAATTTTGTTGCTTGTATCCTTACAATTTATATTGTTTCCTAATATGATTCGATTGCTTATTTGTACCCTATGATTGTGTTGTACCTTATGATTCTTGACAAATGTATCTTGTCTTTTTATGTACACTTTGGTGTACATATGCACCAAAGACAACTTCCTTGTGTGTCCAATCCCACTTGGCCAATAAAGAATTCTATTCTATTCTAAAAAGCCACGATTAACAGGACATGGGGGGAAAAAAGTGAACAGCAATGTGGCAACAACACAGCTATTGTTAAAATCGAATGGCGTGTGATTTGTAAAGAGAGGCTAGCTTTTCTTTAAATCTCAGCTGTTCCCAGCCTGCAAAAAAAAACAACACTACAGTTCAAGGCATATAGTTCAGTCCTAATTCTGAATAGTCCTTTTTCCTATAAGGCCACACGTGGCTCTTTCAGGACCTAATCCACAAAAAACTCAAGTCCCGGCTTTTAAAAAAAAATCCTCTTCCAATAAAACGCCAAGGCAGGCTTGATTTATTTCAGCCACCGGCCGCGTGGCATTTCATTCTCCTTAATCTCACTCTTCAAAAAGTGCTGAGCTTGCCTGCCAGGGGTCAAAGCACGGTTTGCAAACAGGAGTAGCCCGGAGACACCAAACCCAGGCAGTTCAGCGTCAAGGCTGGGATGCAAGTTAAAACAAACAAGCCGACAGCGCTTCAAAGGTTTAGCAAGGTGGGTTTGCAAAAGAACCCAAAAGCGTGAAAATGCTTAAAATGCTCGTGCATAAAATGGAATCAAAAGGCCGATTCGCAGGCTATTTATTTCCGATCATCAGCAAATAAAGTTACTCTCAAAATAATAAGGTAACCAGAGAGACGGTGGCATTCGGTTTCTTTTGAGGAAACGGATCACAAACAGCCATCTCTTCCCCCAATCGGATTTTGGCTTTTCTGCGGAGAAAGGAGGTTAAAAAGTATAGGAGGTCCCTTTCCCAGGCCCTTCTGTACACCACACCTTCTCCCAGCTGCCACGTCAGACTAACTCAGGCCTTCCAATTGAAAGCCTATTCTTTCGAGAGCTGGGATTTAAGGTTGCTTTCCAATCTCCAACAGCGGTTGGTTGGTTGGCAGGGCATGGAAAAGCCTCCGACGCGGAGCTGGATCACCGCTCTTAACCCCTTCATGGACAAAAGAAGCCAAGCCTTTTTATACGGAAGAGCTCCTCCGGAGCAAATTGAGACCCGGGAGTGAGTTTCTTGGCCTGAGAAAAGTCGGCAGGAAAGAGAAACGTCCGACTGCTAAAAGGAGAATGGGTGGAGTCCAACATCGTACACAACTCTCAAACTTTTGCTTGGATTTTTTTTTCCCTCCCTAAGTCCATTCATTGCATTTTGGCACATTCGTTCTATGAGGAATAAAAGGCACGTGGGATGACTTAGCCCTGAAAGATTGATTTTATTTATCTGGTTTCACAGTAAAAACAAACAACAACACTAGGATATAACTCATCGGCATGTCGTCTTTCTATGCTAATATAAAAGTACAATTCAGGTAGAACGTATCCCTGCCCCATTAAAATAACCTTTTAATCTCACAAAGGTTATTTTCCCTGTCCTCCTTATTTCCAATTGCTTTTCAAGTAAACCTTTTAGGGTATTTTTAGTAGCCTGCCTAGATTTTTGACCCCTTTCCGAGTCTCTGGATTCAATCACCTTCAATTTCAATTAAGAGTATCTGTATTTGCGACACAGAGCAAGAAATTAAAAAAGCAGTAATATTTCTCTTCCCAGTGAATTCCCACGAGATCTTCCTACATCGGTTTTTCCTTTGTCGTACCCGAGGGAAAAGGTCTCGGTGGAGTTTCCACACGGTAATAAGTTGACAGCTCTCTGCCGTTAAAAATGTGATATAGACAAACTGCAGAAATATCTTTAAAGGTATTTCTAGGTTGCCCTATATTTTTTCTCTGTGCCTGTTTTTTTAGGTTCAGAGTCCCAACCAATTCCCAATACAGCGTAGGTTTTAAAAGGAACACCTCTTCGGCCTTCAAAATAAAGAGAGATAATACTGTATAGTGATAGGGATACCCACCCCATTTTCTATAAGACACTGAATCTTAATCTTTAGAACTGTCAATTCACACTGATTCTCACATGAATTCTGGGAGAGATGCTTAAACTGAGAAAAGTCTTAAGATTATTCAAAAGCCATACTAGGAATTTGAATCTCTCTTCCTAATGTTAACTGGGAGCTTGAATCTTTTTTCTTAATCTACATTAAATCATTTCAATAAGCCCTATCACTTAGCACCCCCAAATCTCTTTTTTTTGTAACTTTGCAACTTTTCCCTCATCTAATGCAATACTCCCCAGCATTTGCACCCACAAGAGCCCCCCCCCCCATTAGCTATATAAGATGCATCTCAGAGACCATGTAATGACTTTACTGAGCGCAGGAGCCCACTCACCCTGGATTTTCACAAACAAGGAAATGGAGCAAATGTACCATTTGCCCTGCTTTCACCTAACTCACCCACCCTCCGCATGCAAACTCAACTGACCCACCACGGATGATTTAAGAGGCATCTCCCCCACCCCAATTCTACATTCCTTAAGTTGTGGTTTCTCGACCTTGGCTGCTTGGAAGTCCACCCATCTTCCATCGGTCAGGGTTGAGAAACACTGCCCTAAGTGCTCCTTTCCAGAATGCAAAGTCCAGTTGACGACAGGAGGAATTATTCAAGCATTGGGGGGGAGGGGGGAAGGGAATCTATAAACAATCCCTCTCAGGAGACCCCCCCCCAACCCTCAAGATGCAGAGCCTCCCCGCACTCCACGTGTCCATGGAAAGCTCTCAATCAACCCCCACTGAAATTTCTTCTCCCTCCAACCAATTACAGGGAGGGGAGCAGCTCCCCAGCTGAAAACAGAGTCTGGCCACCACATGGAAGATGCAAGCAAGGGGATTCTCGCTGCCCCCCCCCCAACTCCACAACCCTGCAAAGGATCAATCAATGAGAATAGAGATGGAAGGGAGCTTGGAGGCCTTCTAGTCCAACCCCCTGCTTAAGCAGGAAACCCCATAACTATATATAAATATATCTGATCCCAGAAGTGTCAGGGACCCCCACCCCCAAAAACAAGCACCAGGTCCCTTCTGAGTAACCCCACATACATGTGGGGGACGGCGGGGGAATGTTTCCCCAACATAATGCCCCCCCAAGATTGAGAGGGAAACTAACTCTAAGGCGAGACCCACCCACCCCCAAATCACTCCCATCCCCAACAAACCCAACCTGCAGCGGGACACAAGAATGAGGGGGGGAGACCCCCTCCCAATCCTTCCCAAACCCCTCAAAGAGAGAGCATTACCCCCTCCCTCCCCTCTAAACGACCCCCTCCCACTTTTTCTCAACCCTCCCCAGGTGGGGGAACATCCCCCACTACCACCCCTCTCAAGGCCCACCCCCAGCCCTCTCCTCTAAAGGATCCTCTCCCACTTTTTCTCATACCCCCCAGGTGGGAAGCACTCCCCCCACTCTCCTCTAAACGCCCCCCTCCATCTTTTCCCAACCTCCCAGGTGGGGGAGCACTCCCCACTCAGCCCCCTTCTCCTCTAAAGGGCCCCTTGTCCTCTAAAGGGCCCCTCCCATCTTTTCTCGACCCCCACCCCGGTGGAGGAGAGGTCCCCCCACTAAAGGCCCCCCTCTCAGCCGCCTTCTCCTCTAAACGACCCCCTCCCATCTTTTCCCAAACTCCCAGGTGGGGGAGCACTCCCCCCACACACCCCTCTCAGCCCCCTTCTCCTCTAAAGGGCCCCCTTGTCCTCTAAAGGGCCCCCTCCCATCTTTTCTCGACCCCCCCAGGTAGAGGAGAGCTCCCCCCCACTCAAGGCCTCCCTCCCAGCCCCCTTCTCCTCTAAACGACCCCCTCCCACTTTTTCCCACCCCCCTCCAGGTGGAGGAGCGCTCCCCCTACTCTCCCCTACTAAAGGCCCCCCTCCCAGGCCCCTTCTGCTCTAAACGACCCCCTCCCATCTTTTCCCAACCTAACACTCCCCCCACTCCCAGCCCTCTTCTCCTCTAAAGGGCCATCTTTTCTCGACCACCCCCAGGTGGAGGAGAACACCCCCCCACTAAAGCCCCCCCTCTCAGCCCCCTTATCCTCTAAACGACCCCCCCCAGGTGGGGGAACACCCTCCCCCACTACCAGCCCTCTAAGGACTCCCCTCCCAGCCCCTCCCCTCTCAAGTAAACGACCCTCTCCCACCTTTTCCCAACCCGCCCCAAGTGGGGGAAGCAACCCCCCTCACTCATTCACTCCCCTCTTAAACGACCCCCCCTCCCAGCCCTTCCCAAACCCCCACCCGGGGAGGACCCTCCCCTACTTCCTCTCCTCTAAGCGACCCCTCCCCTCAAAGGGGGCGGGGGTCGACCTCCCGAGAGCCCCAGCAGGCTATCCCAGGGACCCTCCCCTCCCCCCCACTGAAGACCCTGGGGCCACAGCGCGCCCCTCCCCCCCTGCCCCCCCGCCCCCCCGCGCCACGCACCGGCGCACGAGCGGGTCTTCCAGATCTTCAGCAGCAGGATGATGATGGCCGCCAAGTGGGAGAGGTCCCCGGTGAGGCGGAAGACGTTCATGGCGATGGCGGCGGCGGCGGCGGGAGAGGAACGGGGACGAGGCGCGACGGCGAGAGCGCACGGCAGCGGGCACGCAGCGGCACCGAGCGACGTGGCCCGGGGACGTGGCCAGAGACAGCCAGCGCGAGCGCGGGGCACGCCGGGAAAAAAAAAAAAAAAGCGCTCCGCCCATCCACCCACCCACCCCCACCTCCCGGGGCGGGGCAAAGGAGGAGGCCGCGCCCACCTTTCCCCATCCTACCTATCCCGCCGCCGCCGCTGCTTTTAGCGCAGGCGCGGAGACCGCGACGGCGGCCGTTGACCTCAGCCAACCGCTTTCTCTTGCCTCCTTTGCTTTTCCCACCCCCCCACCCGGAAACAGACGCATGCGTCTGACTTGGCTTTGGGCAGGCTGGCTCTGCGCAGGCGCGGCGACGGTCGACTCAAGCCAACCGTTTCTTTTTTAATAAAAAAATACCTACCGTCGACTGCGCACGCGCCTCTGCCGCCGCCGCCTGTCTGAAGTCACACGTGGCGCCCACTCTCCCTCCCTCCCTCTCATTTCTTCTATCCATCCATCCATCCAACTATATCTATCTTCTATCTATCTATCTCTATCACCTGTGTCTATCATCTATCTACTTACCTATCTTCTATCACCTATCTATGTGACCTATTAGCTGTCCAGCCATCATCCATCCACCCATGTCTGTATCTGAATTTGTCTATCATCTATCACTATTTCTTTCTCCTTCCTATCTATCTATCCATCCATCTCTGTCTATCGCCTATTATCTATCTATTATCTACTATCTACTATCTTCTTCCTATCTACCCACTTATCTGTCTGTCTGTCTCTCTCTCTCTCTATTTATCTAATTCTCTATCTATCTATCTATCTGTCTATCATTAGAACAATTCATCAGTGGAACAACTTGCCACCAGAAGTTGTAAATGCTCCAACACTGGAAATTTTTAAGAAGAGGTTGGATAACCTTTTCTCTGAAGTGGTGTAGGGTTCCCTGCCTGGGCAGGGGGTTGGACTATAAGACCTCCAAGGTCCCTTCCAACTCTGTTATTCTATTCTATTCTATTCTTTTTATCTATCTATCTTTCTATCTATCTATGGTATCTATATATTGTATCTATCTACAGTTTCTATCTATGGTATCTATCTGTCCACAGTATCTATCTATCTATCTATCTATCTATCTATCTATCTATCTATCTACCTATTTATATCATCTATTTATCATCTACCTACCATCCATCCATCCATCTATCTATCATCTATTTATCTATCATCTATCTACCTACCTACCATCCATCTATCTACCATCTATCTATCATCTACCTACCTTCCATCCATCCATCATTATCTATTTATCATCTATCTACCTACTTACCATCCATCCATCTATCTACCATCTATCTATCATGTATCTACCTACCTACCAACCATCCATCTATCTCTCATCTACCTACCTACCTACCTATCTTCCATCCATCATCTCTATCTATCTGTCTGTCTGTCTGTCTATCTACCGTGTTTCCCTGAAAATAAGACCCTGTTTTATATTTTTTTGAACCCTGAAATAAGTGCTTGGGCCTTATTGCCATGAGCTCAAAAGCCCGATTGGGCTTATTATCAGGGGATGTCTTATTTTGGGGGAAACAGGGTATCTATCTATGGTATCTAGCTACAGTTTCTATCTATGGTATCTATCTGTCTACAGTATCTATCTACCTACCTACCTACCATCTATCAATCTATCATCTCTATCAGTCTGTCTGTTGTATCTATCTGTCTGTCTGTCTGTCTATCTATCTATCTATCTATCTATCTATCTATCTATCTATCTATCTATCTATCTATCTATCTATCTATCTATCTATCTATCTATCTATCTATCTATCTATCTATCTATCTATCTATCTATCTATCTATCTATCTATCTATCTATCTATCTATCTATCTATCTGTCTGTCTGTTCTTTGTCCCTGTGCAAAATTAAAAACCTGCCCTAAATGGATGAGGCAGCCCAGAACTTGTCTTCATTGATATGTACCAATGTTTGTTAAACTTCTTTCTCTAAGGACCCTGCCCACTTTTTAGCAATCACGCAGGATCCCAACAGAGTTTTCCTTTGTATCGGATTTATATTTATTGATAATCATCATATTAAAAAGCTGGACACATTTGCAGAATATTTTACAGGCAATCCTCAACTGAGGAATGCAACTGGGGCCAGAATTTCTGTTGCTAAGTGAATCGTGCAATTGTTCTGTGAATCTAGGTTGCCCGGTTGACTTTGGTTATTGGAAACCAGTTGCGAAGGTTGCAAATGATCCCGGGATGCTTGCAACCATCATACATAATGCCAGTTTGCCAAGCACCCATGACTGGGGACGTTGTAACTGAGGATTGTAAGTCACTTTTTTCATTGTAGCTTCGAACAGTCAGACAAATTCCTTGTGTGTCCAATCACACTTGGCCAATAAAGAATTCTATTATCTATTAAATGAATGATTGTAACTCGAGCACTATTTGCCTTGAACCAAGTTAAAATAACAATGTTAAATCCATTAGATGCTAACATAAATAACGTATTTTTCAAGAAAGAAAACCCTTGAACAAATAATAATGAGAAGAGCGGCACTGCTTTAAATTATTTCCTTCTGGGACTTAGTTCTACCTATTGGCCTCTCCCTGTTTTCTTCAAGGCCATCTCTTTGATTCTCTGTAATCCTAAATTCTGCCAATAGTCTGAACAGGAAGTACCCCAATTCCAAAACTTGATATTTCAACATTTGAATCAAAAGTTACATCCCTGCACTGAGCGGTTTTAAACAAGTAATGCTTGCATAGTCGTCTTCTAAGTTCACCTAAAAGCTATTGATATTCTTTTAGGAAAGTTTTTCAATGCTTCAATAGCCTTTTTTTTTTTTTGCCTCCGTGAACGTAAGATGCTTGCAAATATTGAATGCATTCCTGGAACTGACCGATTCCCCAAGTTTTTTTTTTTTTTTTTTAAAGGCATTATTTTAATTCTTCAAACATCAAGCAGGTTTTTCGAAAGGCCATTCTTCCAAGTTTGCAATGTCAGCTGGGAAACCTCTGGGGGGAAAAAAAAATCAAGGTAAGAATAATGTGGAAGAAATAAATATACTGTATTTTTCGGAGTATAAAACGCACTTCTCCCCCCACCACCACCAAAAGTGGGTGGAAATGTCTATGTGTCTTATACAGCGAGTGTTGTTGAAGCCCCACCCACCCGCTGGCCCCCACCCTTCGGCCGTTTTCGGCCTCCGCAGGTTGCGTTTTTGGCCTCCACACACTCCATTTTAGACCCGTTCTAGGGTGCCGGGATCGCCACAGCACATCGCCGCCAATCACTGGCTCCGTGCGCTGCGTTTTCGGCCTTGCACACTCTGTTTTTGGCCTCTGCGTGTCACATTTTCAGCCAGTTCCAGGCGACGGGGATCAATGAAGTATTTTGGCCGGTTCCAGGAGGCGGCGATGTGTTGTGGCGATTCCCCACAGCCTAGAATGGGTCTAAAACAGAGCATGTGAAGGCCAAAAATGTGATGCGCAGAGGCAAAAAAACGACATGCGGAGGTGGCAATGGGTTGTGGTGATCCCCGCAGCCTGGAACAGCTGATTGGCGGTATTCCGGGAGGCCGATCCAACTGGCAATCAGCTGTTCGTGCTGAATCAGGCTGCGATAACATGCTGAAAATGACCAGGCTGTTTGCTGTTTGCTGTAAGGATGCTAGCCAGATGACTACCAATGGATGCTGGTAGGCAGAGGCAGATTTTTTTCCGCCTTGTTTTCCTCCCCAAAAACTAATGTGCGTCTTATACTCCGGAGTGTCTTATACTCTGAAAAATATGGTAGGTAACCCTTGACTTGCAACTAAAATTGGACTAGAATTTCTGTGGCGGAGAAGTAAGGAGGTTGTTAAGCAAGTTGCACCCGATCTTGTGACCGTTTTTTTGCCACAGTTGTTAAAATGTTCTTCACCTGTCCTTAAATCTGAAGAAAACCACCCCTTCTGGAATTCTGCTGTTCTACTGCTCTATTCCCAGCACATATATCACTACATCATAGAAACAACAATCAACACAATGTAAGTTCAAAGAACATTATTTTGAGAAGTTCCCAAGATCATACGCAATAATTACAATGTGTGAAGTCAATAATAATAATAATATTAATAATAATAATAATAATACAGACTTACTGTAAACTTCAAAAGTGGTCAGTTTAGGAGACCAGATGCAGGACTGAAACAGCAGACATCCAAAGGTTTAACCTGTAGGGTAAGGAAGCACCTGAAAAGGAAATTGAGGGGAAGGTGAAGAGAAGGTCCAAAGAATTAGTAGTTTGGTCTAGTTGTTAAAGCACCAGGCTAGAAACCAGGAGACTGAAAGTTCTAGTCCCACCTTAGGCATGAAAGCCAGCTAAGTGACTTTGGGCCAATCACCAGGAGATGGTGAGTTCTAGTCTTGCCACAGGCATGAAAACCAACTGGGTGAGTTTGGGCCAATCACCAGGAGACGGTGAGTTCTAGTCCCACCTTAGGCATGAAAGCCAGCTAAGTGACTTTGGGCCAATCACCAGGAGATGGTGAGTTCTAGTCTTGCCACAGGAATGAAACCAACTGGGTGAGTTTGGGCCAATCACCAGGAGACGGTGAGTTCTAGTCCCACCTTAGGCATGAAAGCCAGCTAAGTGACTTTGGGCCAATCACCAGGAGATGGTGAGTTCTAGTCTTGCCACAGGCATGAAAACCAACTGGGTGAGTTTGGGCCAATCACCAGGAGACGGTGAGTTCTAGTCCCATTTTAGGCATTAAAGCCAACTTGGTGACTTTTTGGGCCAATCACCAGGAGACGGTGAGTTCTAGTTCCGCCTTAGCCATGAAAGCCAGGTAGATGTCTTTGGGCTTGTCCCTCTCTACTCAACCCAATTTACCTCACAAGGTTGTTGTTTTGGGAAAAATAGGGAGGAGGAAGATGTTTGGATCTGTTGACTGCCTTGACTATAAAAGTAATAAAAGGGGGAAAAGAAGGGGAAAGGAAGAGGTACCTAACCCCTCCATTTTCCATCAAGTAGCAATGAACAAGGACAATCGAACCAAGAAAAATCCCCTCCCCACCCATTTCTAAGTTGTCCAGAGACACATTCACTCATTCATTCTTCACTTTTATTTGCTCACTTTCCAGGATGAGAACGTGGTGAAGGACAGCCTTTTTGGGGAAATAAATTAGGAAAACAGCAGAGGACGGAAAGGCCACTTCCAGCTGGCCTTCAAGATATGGTTCTTCCTTACCGGATGTTCGAATACAGATTAAGATTCTGGCCTTCTGCCACTGAGGAGAGGTGGCACTTGTGAGAACTGGAAGCCACCAGAATAACAGAGTTGGAAGGGATCTTGGAGGTCTTCTAGTCTAACCCCCTACTCAAGCCAGGAGACTCTATACCAGGGGTCGGCAACCCGCGGCTCCGGAGCCGCATGTGGCTCTTTTATCCCTCTGCTGTGGCTCCCTCCTTTCATCCCTCTGCTGCGGAGAGAAGCAGCTGTTGCCACTGCTCCTCCATGGCCTGCCCGTTACTCTCAGAGAGAAAGAGAGACAGAGAGAGAGAGAGAGAAAGAGAGAGACAGACACAGACACAGAGAGAGAGACAGACAGAGACAAAAAGACAGAGAAGGAGAGAGAGACACAGAGACAGAAAGAGAGACAGAGTCAGAGAAAGAGTGACAGACAGAGAGAGAGAGAGAGAGAAAGAGAGAGAGAAAGAGAGACAGAGACAGACGCACAAACAGAGACAGACACACAGAGAGAGAGAGACAGACAGAGACAAAAAGAGACAGAGAAGAGAGAGAGACACAGAGACAGAAAGAGAGACAGAGTCAGAGAAAGAGTGACAGACAGAGAGAGAGAGAGAGAGAGAAAGAGAGAGAGAAAGAGAGACAGAGACAGGCACACAAACAGAGACAGACACACAGAGAGAGACAGACAGACAGAGACAAAAAGAGACAGAGAAGGAGAGAGAGACACAGAGACAGAAAGAGAGACAGAGTCAGAGAAAGAGTGACAGACAGAGAGAGAGAGAAAAAAGGTGAACAACACACCTGAGGCCGGGTGTGGCAAGAGGTAGCTGGAAGGGGAGGGGAGGGGTTCGGTGGGGCCAGGCGGGGCAAATAATTTAGCAACCAGTTCTCTGCCCTAATGACTGGCTGGGTAGGCGTGGCTGGGGGGGGGGGTGTCATGTGACCGGGTGGGAGTGATTGACGTTGAGTTGGCCACGCCCACCTAGGCACACAGGTTGTTAAATTATTGGCTCCCGGTGTTTTCTTTTCTGTGGGAAACGGGTCCAAATGGCTCTTTGAGTGTTTAAGGTTGCAGACCCCTGCCCTATACCATTTCAGATAAATAGTTATCCAATCTCTTCTTAAAAACTTCCAGTGTTGGAGCATTCACAACTTCTGGAGGCAAATTTGTTCCACTGATTTATTGTTCTAACTGTCAGGAAATTCCTCCTTAGTTCTAAGTTGCTTCTCTCCTTGATCAGTTTCCACCCGTTGCTTCTTGTTCTGCCCTCAGGTGCTTTGGAGAATAGCTTGACTCCCTCTTCTTTGGGGCAACCCCTGAGATCTTGGAAGAACAGACCATTTCTGTTGTATCTTGCTGGCATGACTATCAACAGCTGCCCAGCCTAATTTCAACCCAGTGGATTTCCACCCTGATCCTCTGGAAAAGGAATCTGTTCTCGCATTAAAAACAGATGAGGAGGTTCCCCTTGATGAATGAAAGCTGTACAAGAGGTCAACACAAACGACATCGCCTCGGCGGATAAAATAAAAAGGTCAGCTGCTCGCCAGAGCGGGAAGCGGCTGTCCTTCTCGCTGGGAATCGGTCGCGGGAGCAAAGCCAGCTCCCCGACTCATCGAAGCTGTGCTGAAGAAGAGGAATTAATGAAGTGGTTGTCGCTTCGCAGCTGTTTTTTCGCTGTGTGGAAACCCAGAGGGAGAACTTAAGAGGCAGCACCTGCGAGCTCCCAAAACGACAAGGTTGCAGGAGGAAGCAACCGCCGACCTGAGGGAAATGGATCGAATTCCCAGTTGGGGCCAACCTATAAAGCAGTGTAGCCACGCCACACATCTCTACCAGGCGCAAACTGGGCGCTTTTGAAGGCTGGCAGGACCAATCTTAACTTAGACAAGTGGTCTTGTCAATGGTCAATGCCTCTCAAAAATCAATGTCAGCTCTTAATCACTAGCGGTTGTGAACTTCCGCGAGGCCTGTTTTTCGCCCTCTCGGAGCCTCCATGCAGCCCCTGCACTTACCTGGCATCCAAAACGGGCTGCGTGGAGAGTTCTGGGAGGGGAGGGGCAAGGTGGGCGGGGCCAGCCAGTCCTTGCAACTACCAATTTGGCGAACCGGATGTAAAATTAGCATCCGATTCACCAGCACCGGTCCGAACCGGCTGAATCCCCTACCCCTGCATGAAATTATGATGAGAATTATACTGACGATCCAATCCAAGGGTGCTTTTGAAGAAAGAAAGCTCACCGTTCCAAAGAGGTGCCGATGTTGGGTCGATTGTACTTTCATTCAAGGATACTTCTCGGATTCTTCTCCTTCCCCCATCCAAAGCCAATTGGAGGCTCTGAAGCTGCTCTTCATTCAGATGTCGGCGCTGCAAATCCGTCGTCCTGGCTGCGTTTTCAGGACCAAGGTTTGCAAGCTGCTCTGGAGACAGTTCCTGCGATAATAAATACAGGTAGTCCTCGACTTACGACCACAAGTGACCCCCAATTTTTATTTTTATTTTTTTGTATATGTTTTATTTGCAGTTTTCCTTTAACAACCAATATATTTTGTGGACAGAGTAATGACTGGGGTCAATACATTTTTACACAACTCTAACAATGATAATACAATATAGATATATCTTTCTATCCTAGAAAGGCTCTGGTGCCTGGGGAGAGCAAAAAACGGGCCTTCCCCACCCCCTCCGGAGGCCCCCCGGAGGCCAGAAACAGCATGTTTCCTGACTTCTGGTGGGTCCAGAAGGCCCAAAAATCAGCAGAGCTGAGCTCACGTGCCCACCGATATGGCTCTGCGTGCCACCTGTGGCATGCGTGCCACAGGTTTGCCATCACGGGTATAGGGTCTACTGCTTGAGTAGGGGGTTGGACTAGAAGACCTCCAAGGTGTCTCCCAACCCTGTTAGTCTGTTAATTTATAAGCTTCCAAATGCATCTGATTTCATTCCTTGCAGGCAAATGGTGACTTTAGAGCTTTCCATGGTGACACCAGTCAGACAATAAAGAGAATAAAAGTACCTGAGAGTTGATTTTTCCCCCAATTCCAATGCAGAATATTCTACCAAACAGTCATATGATTATGCCTACTTTAGAAGCCAAACCCTATGATTAGAACTGTGCAGTCATTATCTTTCCTCGTATTGTAGAACAATGACAGCAAATGTGAACAACTGACATTTAACAAAAATGCCAAAGAGTTTCTCTGGGTTTTTGTGTTGGATTTGTCTTTTTTTTTTTTTTTCAGAAGGCAATTGTCTCCCAAGGCAGCAAGTAATTATGAGATATAAATTCATCTCTCTCTTTTTCCCCTTTCGGTTCAGGTTTGAACAGCTGCAAAATTTCACTCTTAGATGATGGTGGGAGGAAACTGAGAGTGCGTGGAGACAAGGAAAAGAAAGAGAGAGAAAAAGAAAGAGGAGAAACAGAGAAAGAGAAAGAGAAAGAAAGAAACTAAAAAAGAAAAAGAAAGAAAGAAAGAGAAAGAAAGGAAGGAAGGAAGGAAGGAAGGAAGGAAGGAAGGAAGAGGGAGGGAACAAGGAAGGAGGGAGGCAGGAAGACTGATTTTGAAAAGGAAGGAAGACTAATTTTGAAAACAAAGGAAGGATTTTGAGAAGAAAGGAAAACTAATTTGAAAAGGAAGGAAGGATTTTGAGAAGGAAGGAAGACTAATTTCGAAAAGGGAGGGAGGGCGGGAGGAAGGAAAGGAAGGAAGGAAGGAAGGAAAGAAGGAAGGAAGGAAGGAAGGAAGGAAGGAAGGAAGGAAGGAAGGAGAGATAGTAAATTTTAGTGTCTTCAAGTTGATTGCCTGGATGAGTCCTGCAGTTTTCTTGACAAAACCTTTGGAAGGATTTTGCCATTGATTTCTTCCCAGGGTTGAGAGAGAGTGACTGGCCCAAAGTCACCCAGCTGTCTGCACCCTACACCAAATTGGGTATCTTAAATATGTAACCAGCCGCAAAGCCATACGTCCCTCCCCCTCTCACCTCATCCCCCCCCCCCAAATAAACTTTAAAAAGATGGAGAAGGCAGCAAACCGAACGGAAAGCTTCCCGACTTACTTTAAAGATTTCGCTGGGGATGGACGCGATGGCCGCAGGCTGGAAATAAGCCATCAATTCGTGATCAAGGCCTCTTAATTCCTTCTCGTCTAAGCCAGCTAGCACGGGAGAGGAAAAAAAAGGGGAAGCGATCAGGACACAATTTCCCGCCGTTCCGATTAGACGGAATTTGGAGCCTTTGAGGAGCGCCAGCCCTTAGCGGATCAATATTTGATTCTAAAAATCAGGATTTCAAGCCCCCTCTGGGAAATCAAACCAGAGCTTGCAATTAAATGGATGTTTGATGGGAACCAAATTTAGTAAAAAGGGCAGGCTCAATTAATGCAATTCTCATTTTTGCTGTTTTGCTTTTAATAAGAAGGGCTCCAAAGAGCCCCCCCCCAGTGGTGGGTTGCTCCCGGTTCGCACCGGTTCACAAGAACCGGTAGTAAAAATTTGTAGTAGTTCCGAGAACCGGTAATAACATTGGCTGGCCACGCCCCCGAACCGGTCCCCGGCCTGGTTGCCGCTCACTTACCCCGCCCCATCAGAGGCTTTTTTTTTTTACTTTTAAAAGGAGCCTGAGTGGCGCAGCAGACTAATGCTACTGTTAAAGGTCGTATTTAGCTTCCAGCTGCCTGCAATTACTGCGAGTTCAATTCTCACCAGGCTCAAGATTGACTCAGCCTTCCATCCTTTCTAAGGTAGGTAAAATGAGGACCCAGATTGTGGGGGCAATAAGCTGACTTTGTTTAAAATATACAAAATATGAAGGCTATTGCTTAACGCATTGTAAGCCGCCCTGAGTCTCGGAGAAAGGCGGCATATAAATCAAAATTAAAAAAAAAAAAAAAAGCATTTTTTTCTACAACCTCTTCGGCTGAAAAAATGCTTTTAAAAGTAAAAAAAAAAAAAAAAAAAAGCCTCTGACGATCCCGTAGCTCAGCTGGGATCGTCAGAGGCTTTTCAAAGCATTTTTTCTACATACTCTTCAGCCGAAGAGGTGGTTAAAAAAATGCTTCGAAAAGCCTCTGACGATCCCAGCTGAGTTGCCTGATCATCAGGCTTTTCAAAGCATTGTTTTCTGCAACGTCTCAAGGTTGTAGAAAAAATGCTTTTAAAAGTTAAAAAAAAAAGCCTCTGACGGTCCCAGCTGAGTTGCCTGATTGTCAGAGGCTTTTCAAAGCATTGTTTTCTGCAACGTCTCAAGGTTGTAGAAAAAATGCTTTTAAAAGTAAAAAAAAAAAAAAAAAAAAAAAAAGTTGGCCACGCCCACCCAGTCAAATTACCCCCACACACCAAGCCACGCCCACAAAATAAGCCACGCCCACAGAACCGGTAGTAAAAAAATTTAGAACCCTCTATTTTCTCTTACTTCTTCCGCTGCACAGAAGGTGAATCAGATCAGAATGGAATAACAGAGCTGGGAGGGACCTTAGAGGTCTTCTACTCCAACCCTCTCTGGCCAAGCAGGAGACCATGTACCATTTCAGACAGGTGGCTGGCCAATCTCTTCTTAAAACCTCCAAAAGTGTTGGAGAGCACTCACAACTTCTGAAGGATCGTGCGGCAAATCATGGCTTGGAGTGGTTAACTACACTTTCTTACCAGCGATAGTCCCAATTTCTTGCAGGGTTGCAGGGTTCCATTTCATGGGACTCCCAAATATAGATTCGACTTTCTTTTTAAATTCTCGCAGAGTGTTTGAGCTACACGGCAAAGAACCCAGCCTGGCTAAAACCACACTACGGAGAAAGCAAAAGAACACCTTATCACAATCAGCCATTTTTGACACCCGGTTGCCAACGTTTCGTAGGGAGAAGAAAGAAAAGAAGGAAAGATGGAAAGAAGGGAGGGAGGGAGGGAGGGGAGGGAGGGAGGAGGGGGGGTAATGAGAGAGGGAGGGAGGGAAGAAAGGAAGAGAAGAAAGAAAGAAAGGAGGAGGAAGGAAGAAGAAAGAAAGAAAGAAAGAAAGAAAAGAAAGAAAAGAAGAAAGGAAAGAAGAAAGAAAGAGGAAAGAAAGAAGAAAGAAAGAAAGAAAGAGAAAAAAGTGAGGGAAAGGAGGGAGGGAATGAGAGAGGGAGGGAGGGAAGAAAGGAAGAGAAGAAGAAAAGGAGGAAGGGAGGGAGGGAGGGAGAAAGAAGCGAGGGAAGGAGGGAGGGAATGAGAGAGGGAGGGAGGGAGGGAATGAGGGAAGAAAAGAAGAGGAGAAGAAAGAAGGAGGAAGGAAGGAAGGAAAAGAAAGAAAGAAAGAAAAGAAAGAGAAGGAAGGAAGGGAGAAAGGAAAGCGAGGGAAGGAGGGAAAGAGAAGGAGAGAGGGAAAAAGGAAGAGAAAAAGAAAAGAAGGAAGGAAGGAAATAAAGAAAGGAGGAAGGAAGAGAAGGAGAAAGGAAAGGAAAGTGAGGGAAGGAGGGAGGCAAGGAAGGAAGGAAGAGAAGGAGAAAGAAAAGAAAAGAAAAGAAAAAAGAAAAGAAAAAGACAATGATACAAGAGCTAGGAAGTTTTTGCCCCTTCAGCTGTCGGAGACAATGTAAGAATTAAATAATCAGAGCCTGTAGGATTTCCGAATATTTCTCTTCAGCGGTGTCCAAACACCGTACCACTATCTTTATGAGTAGACTATGAGTAGCAGGGCATCCTGCTGCAACAGATCTAGACAGGGAATGGAAAAACCACACCACAAAAGATAGTTCACATTTTGCTCAAATCGGTTATTTTTATTAATGTGTCTGGTTGCTGTTTTAACAGTTAAACACAACCTTAGAGTCCTGATTGACGAAGGCAACTATCTTCCATATTCTGCAGCTTGGTTGCAATAATATTTTGGTTGCTTTGCAAGCCTGAGAAATGGGTCTAAAAAAACATCGAAGGAAAGCGGAGTTTTTTTTCTCTTTGAAAAAAGCAATAATCCCCCCTTGGATTATCCCATACCTTTTACAAGCATTTCATGGATGAGAGAAGAACAGATGGGTACATGTACCTGAATTCGGTGGCATTGATGGATGCAACCTCTGTCGAGTTTAGCGTGCAAAGAGTGGCGTCAAGAGCTACCAGATCAAAACTTTTGAGACTGGCTATCTCTTGTCCCGAATCATTCAGAAAACCTTGCAAAATAGATTTCGCCTGGGGGTGAGGGGGAGAAATAAACAACAATAACCACAATACATATCCCCGTGTTTCTCTTTCCCCCCACCAAAAAACCATATTACTTTATGCAAACTGATCTCAGAATAATTTGCAGCACAAATACATCCACCACCATAGTGGAGGAAGTGAAGCAGGGGTGGGCTGCTGGGGGTTCGCAGGGGTTCGGGAAAACCTCTAGCTAAGATTCTGTGCAGTTCGGAGAACCCCCAAATCCCACTCCTGGCTGGCCCCTCCCAGCCCACCCACAGGAGTCCCCACACGGCCTGTTATGTATGTAGGTAACTGCAGGGCACCGATGGAGGCTCAGGGAGGGTGAAAAATGGGCCTACCGGAAGTTTGGGAAGGCCGGAAATTGGCCCGTTTCCAGCCTCCAGAGGGCCTCCGGAGCCTGGGGAGGACGTTTTTGCCCTCCCAGAGGTTCAAGGAAAGCCTCTGGAACCCGGGGAGGGCAAAAACTCCTCCCCACTGTGGTGCAGGAAGCTGACTAGGCCATGCCCACCATGGCCACGCCCACCCAGAGAACCCCTTGCTAAAGTTTTTGAAGCCCACCCCTGGAGTGAAGGGGTGGGCTTCCCCCCTTGAGATCCAAGGTTTGAAGGAAAACCTTGAACATTGGGAGTGCCGGGCCCAAAGATTTCCAAAACGTTTCTTTCCAAATTGTATTTTTTTACGCGACCAAAGGAGAGGAGCCAATTCGTCAGCATGATCACTTTGTTTATTTAAGAGTACACATCAAGGGTGAAATCCAGCAGGTTCTGACAGGTTCTGGAGAACCAGTAGTGGAAATTTTGAGTAGTTTGGAGAACCGGTAGCAGAAATTTTGAGTAGTTTGGAGAATCAGCAAATACCACCTCTGGCTGGCCCCCGAGTGGGGTGGGAATTGAGATTTTGCAGTATCCTTCCCCTGCCATGCCCACCAAGCCACGCCTACAGAACCGGTAGTAAAAAAAAATTGGATTTCACCACTGGTACACATGTGAAATCAAAGACAGTTTTGGCCCAACTGCTACCGTACTTTTTGAAGGGAGATATTTAGTTGGGTGGATGCCACTTCACGGACCCTAATTTTCAACTCTGCTTTCAACCTCACCCACATACAATGTGCACAGATTTTAAAGCACACACACAAAGCAACAATAACGAGACTCGGCAGACCTCTCTTAAGCAATGGACTCTCGGTGTGAACTTTTATTAACCTGAGATGGATTCCAAGCTGTTTGTTGGGTCAAGGCTGAAACAGTGTCAATCAAGCTGAGATCCAGCATGGCAATTTCCTTCTCGTTCAACGCCGTGACAATGCAACCCAGGGACACAATGTGGTATCTCTTCCAGCCTTCCGGCAGACCCCAAACCTTTACAAACACACACACATATATATCATAATCAAAAAAATTCTGGAATGTGCAGAGATGGATAGCTTAACCCTAAAAAGCAAAGGCAAAGAAGATTCGGATTATTTCACAACATGGGAACTATTCTATAAATGGTTAAATGACAGATATTGAGGTTAGAGGAATGGATTTTTTTTTTTAAATTTGATTTATATGCCGCCTTCATCCTTTTGTATATTTATACAAAGTCAGCTTATTGCCCCCACAAACTGGGTCCTCATTTAACCTACCTTAGAAAGGATGGAAGGCTGAGTCAACCTTGAGCCTGGTGAGATTCGAACTTACAGTAATTGCAGACAGCTGGTGTTAATCACAATGCTATCAGTCTGCTGAGCCACCAGGCCCTTAGGTGAAGTATGGTTTACACGAGAAAGGAAAACAGAGGAGTAAATTTTGGTTGATGGTTATGTAATTGATACCATAATGGAAGATAATATGAAGAAGATAATATATGTTATAATATGACTGATGTTATTGCATATTTGTTTATAAAGGTAAAGGTAAAGGTTCCCCTCGCACATATGTGCTAATCGTTCCCGACTCTAGGGGGCGGTGCTCATCTCCGTTTCAAAGCCGAAGAGCCAGCGCTGTCCGAAGACGTCTCCGTGGTCATGTGGCCGGCACGACTAAATGCCAAAGGCGCACGGAAAGCCTCCGGAGTCCGGGGAGGGCAAAAAGCCACCCCCTGCCGTGGTGCAGGAGGCCAACTAGGCCACGCCCACCATGGCCACGCCCACCTAGCAACCGGGCAAAGAACCCCTTGCTAAAAATTTTGAAACCCACCCCTGGCCTTCACTAATCTGATGTGTTGGAGAATAGATCCCATCATCCCCAGTCTCTCCCAACTTCAGCAAAGCTGAACCAGAGGGGGAAGCTGTATCAGTTCAATCGCTGAATCGCCTCAACTTGATTTCCCAAATTGATCAAGAGACTATTTAGTGCAGATTGGCAAAGGAGCAATTTATTCTGGAGGCCTGAGAACTCCCCAAAACTCTTTCTACACTCTTAGTAAACCTCTTGTATCGTGCAGTGATTTTGTTTTAGCTTGGGAACAAACATGTAATTGGGAAGATTTTATATATCTATTTTTCATCTTAGGATATGGAATGGAAACTAATGGACATTTTCACTTGCCCGTCTTACTATATATTTCGCGAGTATTCCTAGGAAGCTTTACCCAGAATTATAGATTTATATTTATTTACTTGTACCCCTTGGGCATTACGCTATGAGGACATTAACGTGTGCATTTTCAAATCATTATTTACTTCTACTTTTTTCTACCCTCCGCCTCCCTTGGCCTTGTCACTCCCAGTACAGCTAACAATTCAGGATATAATATTGCAATAATATTTTAATAGTGCAGCTGCAGCCTAAATCAATAGCAATAAAGCAGGAGGACAAGACCGAAAAGAAAACTGGATTTAAGAGCTCATAACAAGCTAACAAAGTTTAAAAACAACAACAACAACAACAGGGAGCTGTTTTAAGACGTTAAAAGACACAGCACTGGTCTGTTTATTTATTTATTTATTTGTTTGTTTGTTTGTTTGTTTGTTTGTTTCTTTATTTATTTATGAAGAAAACCACGAATTTAACTCTCCTCCTGTGTCCTTTTGTGAGTTCTCTCTCTCTCTCTCTTTTAAAGTGCTGCAATCATCGGTGTGATTATGAAACAACGGATCCTGAAACTGCTCTAAGCTACAGTTTAACCATAGTTTAGCAAATGACCCACAACGGGTGGTATCACGGAACAAGATGCACAAAAGCTAAATCAATTTATGGTTTTATATATATTGGGCTAAAATAAACAACCACGCGCTGAAAGACAGAGCAAAAAAATAGCCAGTTGGTCAGCAAGGGAGAAAGTGAGTTGGAATAAGAAGATGTCACTACCCAGGCTGTTCCTGACATCAAGATTCAGAATAGAGCTGGAAGGGACCTTGGAGGTCTTCTAGTCCAACCCACTGCTAAGGCAGAAGACCTTCTATCAGTGATGGCTAACCATCAAGTGATGGCTGGGTGCTTAGCAACATAGATATTTGCCCAATGTTACTCTGCCAAGCCATAACATAACCTGCACCAGGCACTGAGTTGTACACAAAAAACAAGATAACAGGAGTTAGATCACTGGTAGAAGCAAATGGCAGAGGCAATTCCAATTCTTAACAAAGCAATTCTTACAGAAGCAAAACAGCAAGTTATTATTATGTCCCAGTAATTCTACCTATTCTAATATTATTATGTCCCTTCAACCTCTAATGAACTGGGTACATGAATGCATTAGGAGCAGGTCCCTGGATTTGGAAGAGAACAAGGAATTTCCGTTCTGTTCCCCTCTTATCATTCATTACCTGTTTAGCTTTTTCCTTCAAGACAGCAAGCTGTGAGGTGTTAAAATTACGCACTGAGCCAAGGATTTCCACCGTTTGGGCAAACGTCCTCCTTTCCATACAGTTCAGTTCCTGAACAGACCAAAACATGTTTGCTTCTGATAACTGTATAATCTCATCCAAAGAGGGTGCTGTGACATCTTCACAATCTGAAAATGGAATAACATGGAGGCATTTCAATATTATTCACTCGAACAGATCTGGCAGCGATGGACAGACAGGTTAAAACTAATAAAAAAGAAAGTGACATTTGTACCTACACCAAATAGTAACACCAAGAGGAGAGGACCACACTGGGAGTAAAGAATGACATCAATCATAAAATAACTGTCAGGGTTCCGACGGATGCCCTAATTAAATCATGAGCCTCGAGCCAAGCTTCAAAAAAAATCCAGTTATTAGGAGTTTCACGTCAGCACGTTCCAAGTGAAGCCAACTCTGACCCCATGTAATTTACACCCCAATCATGACCCTGTTTCTCCCCTCCCCCCCCAGGGTGTGTCATCAATCACATTCGCCAATGGAGCAATTTTGCGGGTTATAGAGATCACTCCCCTCCAGCCGCTGTGGGTAACCCTGAGAGACAGCCTTGAGAGAGAAATGTCTGGAATGTGCTTCTGTTTTTGGCTGTCGTGCTGCTTTGTCGGTTTCCCATCCCCCTTGCCTATGGCAACTCGAGAGCAGGCCAGGGAAGCTTTGCGAGATGACAACAACCTGGTGACAAAATATCACCTTATCCATCATCCGAAGCAGAGAAATGGCTAATCTTATTACAGCCACCTATTTATTTATCAAATGTCTATGCCGCCTATCTTCTTATGGATCACACAATCATAAAATGTCTAAATGGAAAGTCCAGTTGCCTCTTGAAAAAACACCTTTGGAACATTATAACAATGATTTCCAAAGGGAGGGGATCTATTTAGGAGATCGTTCCACCTGGAAATCTTTGTCATAATGTACCAAAGGTGCTTTTTTTCAAGAGGCAACTGGACTTTTTTATTTTTCTTTGAAGATGTTTCACTTCTCATCCAAGAAGCTTCTTCAACTCTTGAAAAAAGCACTTTTGGGACAACGATGACCTGGATGAGTGAGCATCTCCATAGACATAAACAACAAAAAAATGAAATAGAAGTTTAGCAAATGCCTTTTAGCAAATATTTATTTATTTTGATGCCTCCTAATTAAAAAAAAAAAACAACAACCTCCGAGGAACTCACAGAAGTTTTGACAAATCGATACGATGCCTATCTTAAAGAACAGTGATACAAAGAAATCGACGGTTTGAGTCTTACAAGACAGAAGTCACGAAGAATAGAATTGCTTACCGGGAGTTGAATTAGAGGGTTGGGTTGGAATTCTGGAGCCATAAAGGGATTCAAATTGAGCGAAGAGAAGCTGCTTGGGTACAGAGAGCAGTTGGGATGTTTTCGATGCTATTTCCGAGATGAAGTCAGGAAACTTCAGGAGGGAATGAAAAAATAAAAAGATGAGGATTTTAAGTTCGAATCCCTAGTACAGGTCTCCCGCGTGAGCAGGGGGTTGGACTAGATCACCTCCAAGGTCCCTTCCAACTCTGTTACTGCTTACTTTACTTTACTAATTATAGATGGTTCTCCGTTCTTTTTAGCATCCTTAATACCTTCTCAAGCAGGGCGATCAAGTCATCCTTTGGCAATAACACCATAAAAGCTCCGTGGTCCTTAATTGTTTCAACTGTCCAGTTTCTCGGGGAGCTGGAAAATACAAAATTGGAATCTCGGTGGTAAAAAGAAAGCTTTCCATTTGCCATCAAGTTTGTTTGTTTTTTTAAAAAAATGTACTGGAAAAGATTCCAATGTTGGAAGAGAGAGAGAGACAGGTGAGGGAAGAAGTGTTTACAGTAAAGAGTTTGAGCTAAGAAAAAATGAGTTTCTTTGCACGTAGCGGCTTTTTTGGATAAAAAGATAAAGGTAAAGATTTCCCCTGGGCTGCCATGTTTGATTCTAGGGAGGGATGCTCATCTCTGTTTCTTAGCTGAGCGTTGTCTGAAGACGCTTCTGTGGTCACGTGGCCAGCATGCCCAACACTGTTACCTTCCCAGCGAAGGGGTACCTATTTATCTGCTCACATTTGCATGCTTTTGAACTGCTAGTTTGGCAAGAGCTGGAGCAAGGAACAGGAACTCACCCCAAGTGTCAGGTATATTCTTTTTCAAACCATCCTCTGCTACCAGTGCCACGATCCAGGCAATTACCCCAGGAAGGTAACGGGGCTAATTGCCTCTCACGCACTCGGGTCTCAAACCTGGGCTGTCAGCTTCCAGCTGACGAACTCAGCATCTTTAACCGTCATTAAGCCATCACACTCTTCTTTGGCTGTTGTTACTCAGTGGGACCTTGCAAAGAGCTTACCCGTGCAATTCAATTAGTCTCTGCTGAATTTCTATCTTCTGCTGGTAGCTGAGATGGGGGCACTGGCTGTATCGGTGGAGGATGACTGTCATCACTTCTGGGGAGACCCCCTGACAGATGAACGCGGGGGACAAATGGCAAAGGAGATTGCCCAACAGGTCCACTGTATATTCATCAGCCACCGAGCCTTCCTGAAATGAGCCACATCAATTCAGCAGTTGAACTAAGAGGCAGAGAAACAAGGGAGGGTCCTTTTCTCCATCCATTATGCAACTGTGGGCTCTGCTCCCTCTTATCGGACCATTCCCTAGGCAGCATCTCTTTTCTCCACCTCCCCAGGCCTTTCCCACATACCACTACAGGTAATCCTCGGCTTACGACCACAATTGAGCCCAACATTTCTGTTGCTGAGCAAGACAAATGTTAACTTGGCCACATTTTACGAATTTGGTTGCCAGAATTATCAAGTCAATCACCACAGTTGTTAAATTAGTAATCTTCTTAAGTGAATCTGGCTTCCCATTGACTTTGCTCATCAGTAGGTTGCAAAAAGGAATCATGTGGCCCTGCGACCGTCATAAATGACTCATATTTATGCAGTTTGGCAGGCTAACTCTGCCGACTGCCAGCAGTTCGATCTTGACCATCTCAAGGTTGACTCAGCCTTCCATCCTTCTGAGGTCAGTAAAATGAGGACCTAGATTGTTGGGGGCAATACGCTGACTCTGTAAAATGCTTACAGATGCCTGTAAAGGACTATCGCGTTTTCCCGAAAATAAGACCCTGACTTATATTTTTTTGAACCCTGAAATAAGTGCTTGGACTTATTTTCGGGGAGGTCATATTATTTTGGGGCACATGGAGCAAGATGGGGCTCCTCTTGTCATCTTACCTGATTTCCAGCTCTGTCTCCCTAATCCTAACCAGAGGAAATGGCGGGGACCGGTTGTGCATACATTGAAATATTTTTAGGGAGGGCTTATTTTTGGGGGAGGATTTATTTTCAGGGGAGGGTTTATTTTCAGGGGAGGGCTTATTTTCAGGGAGGGCTTATTATCCGGGGGAGTGTCTTATTTTCAGGGAAACACGGTATGAAGCAGTATATAAGTCTAAGGGCTATTGTTATTGCTATCTGAATTTTGATCATGTGACTGTGGGGAATGCTGCAAAGGTAGAAAATTTGAAAAACAGTCACTTTCGGTGCCGTCGTAACTTCAAATGGCCACTAAACAAACAGTCGTAAATCGAGGACTACCTGGACATCAGCCTGAACGAGAAACAGACTCGTCATTGAAAACAACGGGCGTTCTTACTAAGCAGCGCTGGATTTTCTGCCGAAGAGCTCTTTTCTTTTGCTCGCTCCAGATGAGATGATCGAGGTCCGTCTTTCCCAAACTGATCAGAAAAGGGACACAGCGGGATCCGGTAACAGATTCCAGGAACTCAGCACTACCGAGAGAAAGTTTTCCAAAGCTCACTTTGTGGAAAGGCAGAAACTACAGAGAAGGAGATGGAATTTATTTCTCTCTTCTCTCTAACCTACATCAGCTGAATCAGAAATGCACCCTTATTGTCTTCAGGAAGGTTTATGTCCAGCTGCTCATATAGATTTTCAAGTAAAATTTTATGGAAAGAAAGAAAAAGCGAGAGAGAAAGATAGACAAAACATAAAAGGAAACAAAAGATAAGTTGCAAGTGGATATCCCTATTAAATTTTCAATTGAACATACTCGGTTAGCAAAGCACAAATCTCTTATAGAACATTAAACCGGTAATAAAATTATAGATCAAGTTGAAATAGGATTCTATAAAAAAAAAAAAACATGTTTTGGCTGGGGCACCATATGTAACAGCAAAGTCCAAGAATGGTTTCCAATTTAAAGGAGAAATATTTGTAGCTCAGGGTTGAAATGGTTTCCAGTTTGGACTGGCATTTTGCATCAGATTTAGGAAAGCATATTTCCATAATGTAATTAGCCATTTCCCCAAAATAGAGATCAAAGATCTTTTTTCAATAAAAAAAACATACAGTGTAAGATACCTTGCAGCCTTTAATATAAGTTATATGGATACATTTGAATGTGAAATTCATCCAGCTATTCGTATTCGACTGAGTTTTTATATCAAGAAATTTGAATCGTGTCTCTGCCAAAGAATTAGTAAAACAGCCACTTAGCCTCACATCCAATTAATAATAATAATAATAATAATAATAATAATAATAATGCAAACAAGCAATTTTTTGCAACCGCTAAATTCCTTGGGTTTAAATCTCCATTTCATCTCAGAATTTGAAGTCTAACTTCCATTGTATGTTGATTTGCAGCAATTTTACCATGACTGCAATTAAATATTTTTTTTCCTCTTTCATGTAGTCCTTTCGAATCCTAATGCCAAATGCCATAATTAAAATCCAATCAAAAGGTTTTCATTATTTGAAGACACAGCAGTTATCATAAATACTTTTTTTTTTTAAAACCATGAAAGAAATGAATAAATATTGGCTGAAATGCTATATGCATATTGGCACTGTAAAGATCCGTCATTTTCATGATGTTTTTCATTCCGGTAAGAGAAAAAAAAAAGAAAAGAAAAGGAAGGTAATTAAAAAGAACGGCTTACGGAAGCACAGCTAAGAGGTAGGGAGGGACAGATGCTTCAGAAATTGTCCAGAATTTCCAAGCCAAACAATTGACCTGCAAAAAAAGGATTTTTCAAATGTGATTGCATAGAAACAAGGCAAAAAAGCTATAATCCCGAGCCACTATTTTGTTTCTATATATGCCAGCATAATATCAGTAATTTTAATCCACTGTCAAGTCAATTTCACATTTAGTCGACATAATCTCAAATGAACGTTGTCATTTTTTGGCACATTTGTGATTAAAAAAAAAAAAAAACTTGGCACATTCCACGTAGAGTCCCTGAACGAAATTTACAAGCAGTTTGATATCCACAAAATGATGCATTTTTAGTGTGTTAGATTCATTAATGTGTGCCAAACAAACACACACAGAGAGAAGTGTATGAGATCTCACATCTATGCTTTTATGGATTTGCTTAGATAAAAGTGTGATCTTTTCAAATTCAGAGAAGTGCAGAATTCAGGAAGCAATTGCTGTTTTTCTTATTACATTATTTCCAAAATGTGTTGTGACCTAGGCTCGCTTAGTCATTACAAGACACAATTAGTCCGAAACAAACCTACTTTATTTTAACAGCTGAGATTTACTTCATTCCCAGCTTAGTCCAAATTAATTGCAAACCAAGTTTTTCAGAAGAAGTCCTTCAGGCTTATCACAAACCTTTATCTTCTTTGGCACCCTGCCAAAGGCCTTTCTTGGCAAAGCCCCATGAAGTTCAGAAATAAGAGATGCCGACTGGAAACAGATTTAGTAATGTTGCATTCCTACAAAGAGCCCAAGTGCCTTTGCTGCTCTTTTAAGCCTTATGGGAGGGGCCAATCATCTCCTGGCCTTACTCCCAAGTCGTCCTTTTTGCTTTAGCTGCTCTTGCCTTCTGGCAGCTCTGTGCATGCGTGCACTAGGAACAGGCTCCTCCTGTTCCTCTGCCTCTCTGTTATCCGCCTATGTAGGCTCCAGAGTCCGCGCATCACTCCCAGATGGCCCTGGCCCCATCTCTGCCTCCGACACAGAGCCCACGTCCGGACCTTCCCCTGACTCCAAGACTGGCCCATTGTCCTCCCCAGCCTCCTCACTGTCTGACTCCGCTGCTAGCTCCGTGGGCTGCTGGCGGACCACAACAAAATGCAAAATCTCTTTAAAATGCAAATCACAAGTATTTAATTTGCTCTAGGTGAACTTCTGAAATCATGATCCAGAAACTAAAACAGACCTTCTGTTGGAAATAAAACAAACATATTAGGATATATTCATATTTGACCTGGAAGGAAGACAGCAAATGAAGGTGCTTTTCAAATATGTGGAAAAGGTTCAAAAAAGAGATTGGGCTCAGATTCTCAATGTGCCAGCAGGTCATTCCTTTCAACAGCTGTCCATTACTGGAGGAAAAGGGGAAAAAAAAATACAAAGTAAGAATTGTGTAGGATCCAATTTAATACTGAGAATACTCATTCAATTAGACTCCATGTCTGAAAAAGAACGTTTTCTAAGTTAGGATCAAAATCCTCTCGTTCAATTTGTGTGTCTTTCCAAAGAGTCCTATTACAAGTATCCTTATTCCCAACCAGCATGTAGCCAGTGGGTCAAGGAGCATGGGTGCTGTAGTACCACATCTCTAGAGGATGTTAAGTCTAGGATGTTGTCAGAGGTGAAATCCAGGAGGTTCTGATAGGTTCTGGAGAACCGGTAGCGGAAATTTTGAGTAGTTTGGTGAACTGGCAAATACCACCTCTGGCTGGCCCCAGGAGTGGGGTAAGAATGGAGATTTTGCAGTATCCTTCCCCTGCCATGCCCACCAAGCCACACCAGGCCCACCAAGCCACGCCCACAGAACCGGTACTAAAAAAAATTTGAATTTCACTGTTGTCTTCAACAAGGATCCTCAGTTCTCATTGTAACGTAAGGATTAAAGAACAGAGGATGCTTCCTTACCTTAAGAGATCAGACAGGGAAGTTTTCCTTGACAAGAATTCATACAGAAACAAAGCCTGAAATTAAACAGATAAAGGATCTGTATGTTACAGCAATTTTTTCTTTGTTTTACTTTGGCAACTTTAAGATAGATGGACTTCAGCTCCCAGAATTCCCCAGCTAGCATATAACCACGCAATCCAAGCTCTTTGATAAGTGACAGACATTGATTAAAAAGGAACCAGCTTCCATCGCATAGTTGCGTGTGCCATCTTGATTTGGGGGGGGGGGCGCTCTCTGACAATAGGAATTGGGAGAATATCCAGATTAGGGCCAAACTGTGGGAGACCTGCCCCCTTTGTCCTCCTGTTTGCCCTCTAATCAAAGAGAGAAGCAACCTGGGATTAAGGAGAAACTTCCTAACAGTGAGGACAATTAACCAGTGGAACAGCTTGCCACCAGAAGTTGTGGGTGCTCCAGCACTGAAGGTTTTTAAGAAGAGACTGGAGAGTCACTTGTCTGAGATGGTATATGGGTTCAACTGCTTGAGAGGGGGCTGGACTAGAAGACCTCCAAGGTCCCTTCCAACTCTTGTTATTCTATTCTATTCTATTCTATTCTATTCTATTCTATTCTATTCTATTCTATTCTTTTTCATGTTTTATTTGTTTTATTTATATAACATTCAGTTTTCATCAAACAGTGTGTGTTCTCGGTACAGTTATGTTTAGATAGTTGTATTACACATCTTTGTTGCAATAATTCATCTCCATCACATTAATAATATATATTCTATTCTATTCTATTCTATTCTATTCTATTTTCTATTCTATTCTATTCTATTCTATTCTATTCTATTCTATTCTATTCTATTCTATTCTATTCTATTCTATTCTATTCTATTTATTCCATTCCATTCCATTCCATTCCATTCTATTTTCTATTCCACTCTACTCTACTTTCTCTTCTCTTCTCTTCTCTTCTCTTCTCTTCTCTTCTCTTCTCTTCTCTTCTCTTCTCTTCTCTTCTCTTCTCTTCTCCTCTCCTCTCCTCTCCTCTCCTCTCCTCTCCTCTCCTCTCCTCTCCTCTTCTCTTTTCTCATTCTCATTCCATTCCATTCTTCTTCCACTTCCTGGTTGCCAAACCCAAGATGTCCACAAAGCGCCATCATGCACCCATCCACCTGCCGGTCTGTCAGATTACCTGGCTTGTCCTCAGCTCTCTTTTTTTCACCAATGACGCATTGAAGCTGCCTGCCTTCCATAGATCGAACAAGGAGACCTCAGTAAAAAAGGCACTAGGCAAATCGGTGAGGACCGACGTGAGCGGCGAGGAGGCCAGGATCTGTAGAAAAAAAGGGAAGCGTTTGAAAATTTTCTGTAACCATCTGTGGAAACAACCTTGGGAGGCAGGAAGAAGAACCACAGGCAAGACAATGGCCAGATAAGAGGCAGCTGAGCCCACAGAAGGAATGGGAAGTGGTAAACATCTCAGAAGCAACCCTCCCTAGTTTCTTGGGCTGTAAAGGTGAGGGGAGAGAGACGTCCTTTCAAACATTGGTGGGATTTAAAAAAATGTATTACCGGTTCTCTGGGTTGGGCTTGGCATGGCTTGGTGGGTGTGGCTTGGTGGGCGTGGCAGGGGAAGGTTACTGTAAAATCCCCATTCCCACCCCACTTCAGAGGAAGGTTACTGTAAAATTCCATTAATCTCATTTTGCAGATGGGGGCGGGGCCAGTCAAAGGTGGTATTTACCAGTTCTCCGAACTACTCAAAATTCTCCAGAACTGGTCAGAAGCTGCTGAAACCCACCTCTGCTTTCAAACCTACTCTCAACCCTGAAGCTGACCTAACCGAAGCCATTTTTGACCGCTTCAGTTTTGCCACACTGGAGCTGAGGGATAGGGGGGGGGAGTTGAGCTAGAGGGGATTCTGTAGCCAAAACAAAATATTTTCTCTTGGGAAGTTGCTGTAAAGGTCTGTGGGAATGATCTTTGGAGACAGGAGGAAGAGCCACAGATGAGACAATAGTGAGATAAGAGACAGCTGAGCCCAAAGAAAAAATAGGAAGTGGTAAACATCTCAGAAGAAACCCTCCCTAGTTTCTTGGGTTGTAAAGGTGAGGCGGGGAAGAGATGTCCTTTCAGACTTGTAAGATTCCATTAATTCCATTTTGCAATAAAGTAGAATTAGGGTTCCATTAAGACTTCTGGAGCTAGTCCTCTTGATAAGATTGTTTGAAACATAGAATATGGAGAGGAAATCTTTCTGGTTCTAAACCCGTGATGTCTCCATCTCGTTCACACGTTCTCCACTCCTCAGAAATGTAAGGGCTTACCTTCCGGAAGATTCCTTGTCTTTGAACTGGGGACAGATCCAGTGCCCGTTGTGCCAAGACATTCTGGATGGCCTGAGAGAGTTCATTGGGGTTCATATTGTAGAAGGACAGGGTGTCAATGCCAGGCGCTAAAGCCCCCATTTGACTAACGTTGTGAAACGACAATGTCTGACAAAGGAATCAAAGACGTAAATCAGGATTTATGGCCGAAAGGATCATGTGAACCTAGCCGATTGTCCTTATTTAGAAATAGAATAACAGAGTTGGAAGGGACCTTGGAGGTCTTCCAGTCCAACCCCCTGCCTAGGCAGGAAACTCTACCCCACTTCAGACAAATGGTTATCCAATCTCTTCTTAAAGACTTCCAGTGTTGGAGCATTCACAACTTCTGGAGACAAGTTGTTCCACTGATGAATTGTTCTCACTGTCAGGAAATTTCTCCTTAGTTCTAGGTTGCTTCTCTCCTTGATTAGTTTCCACCCATTGCTTCTTGTCCTGCCCTCAGGTGCTTTGGAGAATAGCTTGACTCCCTCTTCTTTGGGGCAGCCCCTCAAATATTGGAACACTGCTATCATGTCTCCCCTAGTCCTTCTTTTCATTAAACTAGTACCCAGTTCCTGCAACCGTTCTTCATGTTTTAGCCTCCAGTCCCCTCATCCTCTTTGTGGCTCTTTTCTGCACTCTTTCTAGAGTCTCCACATCTTTTTTACATCGTGGCAACCAAAACTGAATGCAGGATTCCAAGTGTGGCCTTACCAAGGCCTTATAAAGTGGTATTAACACTTCCCGTGATCTTGATTCTATCCCTCTGTTTATGCAGCCTAGAACTGTGTTGGCTTTTTTGGCAGCTGCTGCACACGGCTGGCTCATATCTAAATGGTTGTCCACTAGGATCCCTTTCACAGTTACTACTATTGAGCAAGGTACCACATATACTGTACCTGTGCATTTTGTTTTTCTTCCTTAAATGTAGCACCTTGCTTTTTTCCCCATTGAATTTCATTTTGTTAGATAGCGCCCAATGTTCAAGTCTGTCAAGATCTTTTTCTATATCTTAAGTCTATCTTCTGGAGTGTTGGCTATTCCTGCCAGCTTGGTGTCATCTGCAAATTTGATGAGTTCCCCCATCTATCCCCTCGTCCAAGTCACTGATAAATGATTCAGTAAACTACCATTTGCACACACAATCAGCAAGCGTTGCAATGGGCTGGGCATTAACTAACATTCTCATCTCCAATAAATGTAATTAAAAGCAAACCGATGCCTTTGACAACCAAACGCACCTTTTCGTAAAGCAGGTATTTGCTGGATAGAATGATAGTTTGGCTCTTGGCCCAACTGGAGACTTGGTTTAACGTGGAGATGGCGGCATGCACGGCTGTGGGGGACAGAGATTCCAGCTGGCTGGTTGCCAGACCCACGACGGCATCGGAGAGGGTGCCGAGAACGTCATTCAAAGTCTGGTTTTGGACGGCAACGTTGAGAAGCTGGGACTTCAGCTGGAACCATTCCAAGAACACCAAAGGTAATAACAGCAAAAGAAAAAAAAAACCCTGATCAAGCAAGAAACCCTACCCCATTTCAGAAAATGGATGTCCAATCTCTTCTTAAAAACCTCCTGTGATGGAGCATCCACGACTTCTGAATGCACTGATTAATTGTTCTCCCTGTCAAGAAATTTCTCCTTCGTTCTAGGTTGCTTCTCTCCTTGATGAGTTTCCACCCGTTGCTTCTTGTCCTGCCCTCAGGTGCTTTGGAGAATAGCTTGACTCCCTCTTCTTTGGGGCAGCCCCTGAGATATTGGAACACTGCTATCATGTCTCCCTAGTCCTTCTTTTCATTAAACTAGTCATACCCAGTTCCTGCAACTATTCATATGTTTTAATCTCCAGTCGTTTAATGATGTTGTCCCAGTCTCTACTTACCTTCTGCACATTGGCCTGGAAGCTTCTCAACTGGTGACATTTCATCATCTGATGAAGCAATGCCCGAGCCATGGTGGAATCCATCTCTGCCAAATCATGGTAGAAACAAACCAGCAAACCCAGCCTGCGTGAGAAACAGAAGAGGTTAGCTGTCAACTCATGAAAAGCATCCCTGGCCTGCTCTCGAGTTGCCATAGGCCAGGGGAGGATGGGAAACTGGCGAAACTGTTCAGCAGCCGAAAACAGATGCACATTCCACACTTATCTCCCTCAAGGCTGTATCCCAGGGTTACCTACAGCAGCTGGAGGGGAGTGATCTCTACAACCCACGAAATTGCTCCGTTGGTGAATGTGTTTGATGACACGTTGGGGGGGAGGGGGGGAACAGGGTCATAATTGGAGCGTAAATTACGTAGAGTCAGAGTTGGCTTCACTTGGGAACGTGCTGACATGAAGCTCCTAAAAAATAACTGGATTTCTTTTGAGGCTTGGCTCGAGACTCATGATTTAATTAGGGCATCCTTAGGAACCCTGACATTAGCTGCCTGTCCTGTCTTTAGATTTTGTTTTCTTCTGTAGAAACTACATTATCTCAGTTTTTTTTTTCTTCTATCTTCATTAAGCCTATTTCAGTCTTGAAGTGTTTTCCACCTCAAAATAGCAGGCAACTGAACTCCAGTTCAGTTGAACTTCTGGGTGTCCTTCAAGAAGCCAGATGGAACTCTCACACTATGTCCCTGTCTGTTCTGCCCCAGCTCCGGATTCCCGAGGATATTGACACACACCAATTATCCAGTTTATTAAGTAGCAAGAATAAACCAAAGTCCGGCAAAAGTTGGCAACCAGCCCAGAAAGCAAGATACGATAAGACTTTTCCAAAAATGCTCTGATGATAATTGTTTCTAGCAAGAAATTACTAACAGTGTGTGACTTAAATAGGCTAAGGGAATGGCCAATTATCCTCAGCTTTACTCTCGAGGAGACCTCCTTCTCCTCCTGAGTAGCCACTCCTGCCTTTTGGCAGCCCTGCGTGCTCGAGCATTGAGGAGAGGCTCCTCCACTTCGCTCTCTCCACTTGAAGGAGCCTCTGGAGGTCCTGAAGGCCCTGATTGAGTCTCTGCCTCTGGCACCACATCCTCTTCAGCCTCCTCGCTGTCCGATGTGAGCACCGGCTGCGCCGGCTGCTGACACGACACCACACCAGCCTCCTCGTCGTCGGGATCAGCCACGATCTGCACAGGCCGCTGGCGGGCCACAACACTGTCTAGCTGGGATGAGCAAATTAATGGACCCAACTTGTTCCAAATTATCTCAAGCCAAATTATCTTGACATCCAAAATGCTTAATTAAGGGAGGGGCTTTGACCAATTTGCACGCCTCCCCCCAGACAACTTCACAAAACATCAAAGAATTATGGATTTGGAAAGAACCACCAAGACTACCTAGAAGTTGGAAGGAGGACAAAACCTTCTAGATCAGTGATGGCGAACCATCTTCTGCAATGTGCAAGAAGACTAACTCGTCCACAAAAAAAGAGGTCTTCATCAACCTCTTCTTAAAAACCTCCAGATGGAGAACTCGCAACCTTCACGGTTAGACTCTTCCCCTGTTGCTCAGCTCTTCAAAGGCAACCCTGAAGCAGTGGTGAAATCCAAATTTTTTTACTACAGTTCTGTGGGCGTGGCATGACAGGTGTGGCGTGGCTTGGTGGGCATGCCTTGGTGGGCGTGGCAGGGGAAGGATACTGCAAAATCTCCATTCCCATCCCACTCCAGGGGAAGGATACTGCAAATTCCCCATTCCCGCCACACTCCAGGGGAAGGATACTGCAAAATCCCCATTCCCTCCCATTCTGGGGCAGCCGGAGGTGGCATTTGCCGCTTCTCCAAACTACTCAAACTTTCCGCTACCGGTTCTCTAGAACCTGTCAGAACCTAGTGGATTTCACCCCTGCCCTGAAGGAAATAAAAAGCTTGCCTGTACAAAGTGGATACGTTCCTCATATCGAAGCCAGATGCGTTGATTCTTCCCAGGAAAGCTTGTGCAAGATCGGGTGTGATATCGTACACCATATCCAGTTGCTTGGTTGCGTTGTCGTAGCTGACAAACAGCCACATCTAAGCAGCGGAGAAAAGACAAGTGAGATAGAATAGGTCTCCTTGATCAGTAGACAAAAAAAAAAAAAGATATTGAAAAAATCTAATGCTAATTAGATTTATGCTAATTTTACTGTACCGACAGGTTAGTCTTTGACTTACAACCATTCATTTCATAACCGTAGTTGCAACGGCAGTGAAAAAGTGACTTACAAACTGACTGGTCCTCACACTTACAATTGTCGCAGCATCTTCATGATCACATGCTCAAACTTCGGTTGTTCAGCAACTGGCATGTATTAAGCAATAGCCCTTAGACTTATATACCGCTTCACAGTGCTTTGCAGCCTCTCTAACTGGTTTACAGAGTCAGCCTCTTGTCCCCCAAGAATCTGGGTCCTCATTTTACCCACCTCGGAAGGATGGGAGGCTGAGTCAACCTGGAGCCGGTCAGGATCGAATTCCTGGCAGTGGGCACAGTTAGCCTGCAACATTGGATTGTAACAACTGCACCACTATGGCTTCCTTCCTTCCTTCCTTCCTTCCTTCCTTCCTTCCTTCCTTCCTTCCTTCCTCCTTCCTTCCTTCTTCCTTCCTTCCTTCCTTCCTTCCTTCCCAAGCTATAGCAGACTTATATACCGCTTCACAGTACTTTGCAGCCCTCTCTAAGCAGTTTATAGAATCAGCCTCTTGTCCCCCAACAATTTGGGTCCTCGTTTTACCTACCTCGGAAGGATGGGAGTCTGAGTCAACCTGGAACTGGTCAGGATTGAACTGTTGGCAGTGAGCAGAGTTAGCCTGCAACACTGGATTGTAACAACTGCATCACTATGGCTTCTTCCTTCCTTCCTTCCTGCCTGCCTGCCTGCCTCCCTTCCCAAGCTATAGCAGACTTATATACCGCTTCACAGTACTTTGCAGCCCTCTCTAAGCAGTTTACAGAATCAGCCTCTTGTCCCCCAACAATCTGGGTCCTCGTTTTACCGACCTTGGAAGGATGGAAGGCTGAGTCAACCTGGAGCCGGTCAGGATTGAACTGCACAGTGGGCAGAGTTAGCCTGCAACATTGGATTGTAACAACTGCACCACTATGGCTTCCCTCCTTCCTTCCTTCCTTCCTTCCTTCCTTCCTTCCTTCCTTCTTCTTCCTTCCTGCCTCCCTTCCCAAGCTATAGCAGATTTATATACGCTTCACAGTACTTTGCAGCCCTCTCTAAGCAGTTTACAGAATCAGCTCTTGTCCTCCAACAATCTGGGTCTCGTTTTACCGACCTCGGAAGGATGGCAGGCTGAGTCAAGCTGGAGCCGGTCAGGATTGAACTCCTGGCAGTTGTCAGAGTCAGTCTGCAACACTGGATTGTAACAACTGCATCACTATGGCTTCCTTCCTTCCTTCCTTCCTTCCTTCCTTCCTTCCTTCCTTCCTTCCTTCTTCCTCCCTCCCTCCCTCCCTCCCCCCCCCTCCCTCCCTCCCTCCCTCCTCCCTCTCCCCCTTCCTCCCTCCCTCCCTCCCTTCCCAAGCTATAGCAGACTTATATACCTCTTCAGAGTACTTTGCAGCCCTCTCTAAGCAGTTTACAGAGTCAGCCTCTTGTCCCCCAACAATCTGGGTCCTCGTTTTACCGACCTCGGAAGGACGGCAGGCTGAGTCAACCTGGAGCCGGTCAGGATCGAACTGCTGGCAGTCGGCAGAGTCAGCCTGCAACACTTCATTCTAACCACTGTGCCACCACAGCTCTTAATATTAAAATTTGCAACGCTTACAGCATCCTGACTCATACGACTGCCATTTGCAACTTTCCCAAACAGCTCATGACAAGCAAAGTCAATGAGCCAAGCCAGATTCGCTTCAGGTTAGACCTTCCATAACTGGTCTTCATATTCAGAGGTTCTTTTTACTTACTTCGTACGGGTTAATTTTTCTGATTTCTTCAAGGGGGAGGTGAACCATATACCTCCCGAGAATCCACAGGCCTTTAGCGCTGACCCAAGACGTGGAATTGTCTGAAACTTGGAAGCCGCAATATTATAACACCATGCTTAGTTAATTCTCTAGATACATCAGCAACGTAAAAAGCTGATTACAATATTGTCTTTGTTCTAGTGCCCTATACTGAACGTCATCAAAATGCTTAACTTCTTCAGAGCAAACTCAACTCCTGGGGACGTACAAGATACATCCATATAGTTAAGGACTTTTCAATGGGTGAAACAAAATTGATATTGTATATGGTGACAGCAGCTAGGTTACTGATTGGTCAATATTGGAAAAGAGATGTTTTGCCTACTATTGAAGAATGGACTTTGAAGGTGGCCAGTTTTGCAGAAATGGCGAAGATATCAGCATACTTAAAATACCGGACTCAAGAGACTTATGTATGGGAGTGGAAGAAAGGGATAGATTATGTGCAGAATAAATATCAAACTAGGAAGTACCAGATAGCCTTTAGCTAAATGTTGTTGTAGAAATGTATAGTATATAGTGGGTAGAATAGTTGAATGTCATGTAGAAATGTATAGTACACAGGGGGTAGAATAGAAGGGCAGTAAAGTAGGATATAATAATATGATTTGGATTTGGATTACACCTTGGGGAAGTCATGGGAGGAGGGGAGGGCTAGGGAGGGTTAGGGAGGGGAAGGGGAGGAAGGGAAAATTTGTATTTGTAAAACTTTTTCAATTAAAAAAAAAGATACATCCATATAGTTTTCTTGGCAATGGAAAGGAACTGGAAAGTATGTCGCTGGGTTCTCAGATATTATTTTGTCCTTTCCATTCTGAGATTTCCTTGTGGTCTCCCATCCTCACTAGGGCCCCGTTTTCCTTAGCTTTTGTAGTGTCTGTCGGCTGGGTGGGTGCCACTTGCTGCACTTTTGTGTGAATTTATTTATTTATTATTTATTTTACTAGCTTGATTTATATGTTGCCCTTCCCTGGAGACTCAGGGCGGCTTACAATGCATTAAGCAATAGCCTTCATACTTTTGTATATACCTGCTTAGTAGGGCTTTCGGGCCCCCCTAAGCGGTGTTCTTTTTTATACAAAGTCAGCTTACTGCCCACACAATCCGGGTCCTCATTTTACCTACCTCGGAAGGATGGAAGGCTGAGTCAACCTTGAGCCTGGTGAGATTCGAACTCGCAGTAATTGCAGGCAGCTGGCAGCTAAGTGCTACTTTAACAGCACTTAGTCCACTGCGCCACCTGGCTCCTTTGTGGAATGATCCACAAATGCACCCAGAGACCTATGCATGTGTGCAAGCACACACACACACATACAGATAAATAACACATTTCGCTTACCGCTGGCATTGTCAGAGTTTTGTAGGTTCTGCATCATCCACTCGTACACAGCCCTTTGAGTGCTTGTGGTTAATCTGTCGTACAGGTCTTTGAAGACTGTTGATCTGAAGGACCAAAATCACACAAGAATCAGACAGGGTGGCCAATTAATTTGTTTGCACACAAAAAAAAGGGATCCAGCCAAACTATCTCAGGACTAAATAAAACTAAATAAAAGTGAACTAAAAAACCCTAAAACTAAATAAAACCTGGTTAACGGAGAGGGTAACCGATATTTTCCAAGAGCAAGGGAAATAAACCCTGAATAATGATCTGTGGGAATAGCCTTGGAGACAGGAGGGGGAGGCTTAGATTGGATAAGCAGCAAGTAAAATATGTCTCTCGACCTGTTGTGGAGTCCAAAACAGAAATAAATGTAAGGTTAGAAATGGGAGCTTAATTTTACATGAATGGAAGAATAGAATAGAATAGAATAGAATAGAATAGAATAGAATAGAATAGAATAGAATAGAATAGAATAGAATAGAATAGAATAGAATAACAGAGTTGGAAGGGACCTTGGAGGTCTTCTAGTCCAACCCCCTTCCCAGGCAGGAAACCCTACACCACTTCAGACAAATGGTTGTCCAATCTCTTCTTAAAAACTTCCAGTGTTGGAGCATTCACAACTTCTGGAGGCAAGTTGTTCCACTGATGAATTGTTCTCACTGTCAGGAAATTTCTCCTTAGTTCTAAGTTGCTTCTCTCCTTGATGAGTTTCCACCCATTGCTTCTTGTCCTGCCCTTAGGTGCTTTGGAGAATAGCTTGACTCCCTCTTCTTTGGGGCAGCCCCTGAGATATTGGAAGACTGCTATCATGTCTCCCCTAGTCCTTCTTTTCATTAAACTAGACATACCCAATTCCTGCAACCGTTCTTCATATGTTTTAGCCTCCAGTCCCCTAATCCTCTTCGTGGCTCTTCTCTGCACTCTTTCTAGAGTCTCCACATCTTTTTTACATCATGGTGACCAAAACTGGATGCAGGATTCCAAGTGTGGCTTTATCAAGGCCTTATAATGCCATCTTACATTTAACAAAAACCTAAGTCACTTACTGGGAAAAAACAATCTAAGGTAGAGCAGAATATCAGGTGAGCTCAAAAGATGTTGGGCATTCAAAGGTGATGTCCCTGGGCATTCATGGACATCGAGTACTTCAGCCTTCCCTTTCATTGGGCAAATAATATTAAAAGCTGTTTTCCTTCGGCATAATAAACTGTTGGTAAAATGACTTACAGATTCCGGAAAGCCTCTTTCTGAAGATCTTGAGGGAAGCTGGCCACGTTGTGGGCTTGGAGATACGTGGCCGAAGAGGCTCGAAGGATCTGGCTTAAGATGTCCACGCATTGAGCCGAATTGAGGAGCACAAAGCACTTTTCTAATGTGATAAGAACCAAGGTACGGTTCCCTCCGGGACTTTGGAAAAGTTTTTTTCTTATTCCGTGTAGATCGATTAGGATATTTCCCAGATCCTGGAGATACGAGAGAAATATCTAAGCTGTTCGCAAGAAAAATTAGATCTCTAACAGAGGTTAGACTGTAGCTCTGCAGGAATCTTAACATTCAACAGAGGGAAAATAAATTATCGGTGGTTGGAAGGAGGAGGAGAAGGAGAAGAAGGAGAAGGAGGAGGAAGGAGGGTCCTTGATGCTCTCTGACGTTGGTGGTTTTCTTGTATGTTTCATTACCCAGCTAGATAATATCATCAGTGCTAGAAGGGAGTGAGGTTGTGGAGAGGAGGAGGAGAACGAGTACGGATTGTCCTATTTAAGAAAGGTTCAAACAAACTGAAATAATTTAGAGAAGAGTTTTTTGTTTTTGTTTTTTGTTTTTAATTTGATTTATATGCCGCCCTTCTCCGGAGACTCAGGGTGGCTTACAATGCGCTAAGCAATAGCCTTCATACTTTTGTATATTTATACAAAGTCAGCTTATTGCCCCCACATTCTGGGTCCTCATTTTACCTACCTTTGAAAGGATGGAAGGCTGAGTCAACCTTGAGCCTGGCGAGATTCCAACCTGCAGTAATTGCAGGCAGCTGGTCTTAATAACAGGGTGCTTTAGATCACTGTACTACCAAGGCTCTAGTTTGTCAAACTTTGCAACTTTACTTTACAACTTTGCAACTTTACTGTGTTTGTCAAACTTGGCAACTTTACTGTGTTTGTCAAACTTGGTAACTTTACTGTGAGATACATGGACTTCAACTCCCAGAATTCCCCAGCCAGCATGGATTGGTTCAGCATGGTTGGCTGGGGAATTCTGGGAGTTGACGTCTACATATCTTAAAATTGCCAAGGTTGAGAAACCTTAGGTTAGAGATAGGCTTGTGAGAATGCTCAGAAGATTACAGTTCCACGCCACTTGGTACCTTGTCCTTCTTAGGAGAAAAAGTTGTCGGAGGGCACAGAGTGAGACCCACAATAAAAAAAACTTTGATAGAAGAGGGGATGTAAGATACAATTTTTCGGGGTTTTTTTTTTTTTTAATCACACAAAGTAACCCAAACCGGCCTTACCAAATACTTCTGGGTCCTTCCAAAGAGGTACTTCATGGCTGTTTGAAAATCCCCAGGACTCATATCCCGAAAGATGGAAAGGAACATTCTGGGATTGTGGAAAAGATGCTCAAAGTAATTGGTGATTGATTCCTGAAAAAACAGGACAGAAAGTTTTGCAAGTTCAAATATGGGAAGGGGAGACTCAAATCTTTTTTCCCCCCAATGCCAGGGGTCTTTCTGATAATGCTTGCCAAGCAAATCCATCCTCTAGACCAGGGGTCTCCAACCTTGGCAACCATAAGACCTGTGGACTTCAACTCCCAGAATTGCTTTGCTGACTGAGGAATTCTGGGAATTGAAGTCCACAAGTCTTAAAAGTTGCCAAGGTTGGAGACCCCTCTCTAGACCAGAAAAGACCCTCCATGGACAGGATGCTATAGGTCAGTGATGGCTAGCCTTTTCTGGACCGAGTGCTCAAAGCGCACCCGAACCCCCAAAATGCAATGCATGCGTGCCCCCCCCCACGCACGTGCCCCACTCCCTGCGTATGCATGCTTGCCCTCCCCACATGCCACACGCCCCCTGCACATACGTGGCAGAGACCCGAAGACCAGCTATCTGGTCAAGCGGAGTTGAACTGGGGTGATGACTCACATGCCATTAGAGAGAGCACTGCGTGCCACCTCTGGCACGTGTGCCATAGGTTCGCCATCACGGCTATAGGTCCACTTGACGTCCTTTGACCTGCCCCAGGGTGACCCACAAGTCTCCCCTTCCCTTCACCCCAAGGCTAAACATGGCTCCCAATCACTAAACTATAATCACATCAGAGGTGGGTTTCAGCAGGTTCTGACCAGTTCTGGAGAACCGGTAGTAAAAATTCTGACTGGCCCCGCCCCCATCTATTCTCTGCCTCCTGAGTCCCAGCTGATCGGGAGGAAATGGGGATTTTGCAGCAACCTTCCCCTGGATTGGGGAGGGAATGGAGATTTTACAGTATCCTTCCCCTGGATGGGGTGGGAATGGAGATTTTACAGTATCCTTCCCCCTGGATTGGGGAGGGAATGGAGATTTTACAGTATCCTTCCCCTGGATTGGGGAGGGAATGGAGATTTTACAGTATCCTTCCCCTGGAGTGGGGTGGGAATGGAGATTTTTTAAAAAAAAATTTTTGAATTATATGCCGCCCTTCTCCAGAGACTCAGGGCAGTTTACAGTGCGTTAAGCAATAGCCTTCATACTTTTGTATATTTTATACAAAGTCAGCTTATTGCCCCCACAAATGGGGTCCTCATTTTACCTACCTTAGAAAGGATGGAAGGCTGAGTCAACCTTGAGCCTGGTGAGAATTGAACTCGCAGTAATTGCAGACAACTGGAAGCTACAGTAAATACTACCTTTAACAGTAGCATTAGTCTGCTGCACCACTCAGGCTCCTTTTTTACAGTATCCTTCCCCTGGATTGGGGAGGGAATGGAGATTTTACAGTATCCTTCCCATGCCACGCCACCAAGGCACGCCCACAGAACCGGTAGTAAAAAAAATTGAAACCTCCCACTGAACCATATCCTGAATTATGGGGTCATAATGCTTTCGCTAAATTATACACTGAACATCTGAAGCCAATAAGAGATAGGAGCAGGATAAACTCTGACATAACTTCAGTTAGCCGGTCTGTACTGATTTTATGGTTGGTTTTAAAATTTGATACGGATTTTTAAATTGATAAGTTTTAAATTACGGGCCAAATTTATTTAATTATTTTAAATCTATTTTTAACTTTATGTATAAATGTTTTTTATCTTGGCTGTTCACCGCCCTGAGTCCGAAAGGAGAAGGGCGGTATAGAAGTTTGAATAAATAAATAAATAAATAAATAAAATAACTAATCAAGAAGGATAGGATACGTAAAAAACAAAAACCCCAATTTTCCAGGGTTTTATTCCTGAAAAGTCACATTTCTAATTTTTGCTCTTACAGGACATTTAAAGAACTTGGAATGAACATATGAAGGCTATACCACCTGTAAGCTGCCATAAGTAATTGCAAAGTTCTGAGCATGGCAATGTGCCATGATTTGATTGAAGAGATCTTTGGTCCAAATATTGGAGCTAAAAAGAAGAAGAAGAAAAAAGTCAGTAATTTACCCAAAAGAATTGTATAGAAAGGCAATGCTTGTAACAATGCAGCAAAATCATTCAGGAATTAAGGTACAATTCACTCTTTTATATACTGGGAGTGTTTATATTGGATGAATCCGAGCCCTGTGAGAAACTGAACACTGTTTCAGTGGTGGATTGCTACCAGTTTGCCCCGGTTCGGGCGAAACTGTAGTAGCGGCGGCAGGAGGCTCCGCCCCTTGCCCAGATGTCATCAAATAAGATCTGCACATGCGCAGAAGCTTCTGTGCTTGCTCAGAAGTGATGCGTGCGCGAGTGAAGAACACGCGCGCGCGAGCAAACCAATAGCAAAGGTAAGTGAAACCCTCCCCTGCACTGCTTGTTACACAAACTGAGATCATTGGAATAAACTATGGTTTGGATGGAATAAACTATGGTTTGGATGCCATAGTTTATTCCATCAGCCCAATGATTTCGGTTTGTGTAACGAAGAAGGTTAATTTCCCATAAGTTTAGATTCATGCAATGTTAGGTTAAAATATCCTTGGGCTCATTTGTAGATGAGCACGTTCGGTGATTCACACCAAAAATTCAAATGCTGGCAGTGGTTGTTATTTGGGACAAAAGTTCCTTTAATGTGGATGCCAATTTTTGCATTTAGAAAGTAATTACAGGATCTTATTTCAATGAAACTGGGATCCAATCCAGCTTTATTTCTGTACCACCAGCTAAATCATTGAAAAACATAAATCAAATGCCTACCTTTGGAAATTAAGAATATTGAGAAGAGCTGAAAAAAAGGGGAATATTTAAAAAGTTAATAAAAGTAGATTAAATGAGATTCCAAAAAAAGAGAGAGAGACAGAGAAAATTAATGCCAATTACCGTTTAAATACTGCCCTGTTATGATATCTTCCTAAAGAAAAAGAGAAAGAATTGTATACAGTTGAACTAGGGAAACATAAAAATGGTTATTTAATCTATTGCTTTTATTGTTTTAATGTCCTGCGTTTTAGTGTGTTAAGTGTATTTGAATTATTATTATTATTTTCTTCTGTGCAATTTGGGGCTGTCCTAAGCCTCTCTAGGAAGCCCTTGTTTTGAAGGGCAGTGTACACGTTAAAAATAGACATTGCAGAAATGATCAAACGATAGATAGATAGATAGATAGATAGATAGATAGATAGATAGATAGATAAATAGATAAATAGACAGACAGACAGGAGAGAGAGAGAGAGAGAGAGAGAGAGAGAGAGAGATAAACAGAGAGAGACAGAGACAGAGATACGGTACTTTCTACCGTAGGATAGACAGACAGACAGACAGACCGGGGAAAGAGAGAGAGAGAGAGAGAGAGAGAGGGAGAGAGAGAGAGGACATAAACAGAGAGAGACAGAGACAGAGATACGGTACTTTCTACCGTAGATAGATAGACAGACAGACAGACAGACCGGGGAAAGAGAGAGAGAGAGAGAGGGAGAGAGGGAGAGAGAGAAAGAGTGTCAGCGTTCCAGGCTTCCAAAGCTGACAGAGTGATACCGTAGATAGATGATAAGATAGATAGATAGACAGACAGACAGACAGACAGACAGACAGACAGACAGAAGAGAGAGAGAGAGTGTAGATAGATATCGTAGACAGACAGACAGACAGACAGAAAAGAGAGAGAGCGTAGATAGATAGATAGATAGATAGATAGATAGATAGATAGATAGATAGATAGATAGATAGATAGATAGATGGATGGATGGATGGATGGATGGATGGATGGATGGATGGATGGATAGATAGATAGATAGATACTCACCACGGTTCTTTGTAGCTGTGGAGGTAGATCTGGAGAGGAGAGGGGACAAAGCTATTTTTTTAAAAATGTAAGAAATTGCTTCCAAAAAAGTAGATAATAAGGTATCTAAAAGAACTGAAAAGATAGTCATTCATACTGCTGTATATCTTCAAATAGCAGTTAAAAGTTACTGGAGATGAAGAGATGGAAATGGAAATGGAGATGGAGAGGAGGAGGAAGAGGAGGAGGAGGAGGAGGTGGAGTGGGAGACGACATCTCAGGGGAACTAAGCTAGAGAAAAACAGTATAGTTAGTACAACATCCACACATGAGGTCAAAATTAACCTGCAGTAACTTTGGACTTTCTCCTTTTCTTCTCCTTTCCTATGACCCAAATACTCTACGCCAAAGGCCATCATTGTTCTATGTAATCTACATGCAAGTTCAGTTCTTTTCTTCCAAAATTTTGAGATCTATTTCTGTGGAATAGAAGCTGTGTTTGTTTGTTTGTTTGTTTGATCTCACCTTGGCTATCCTTTGAAGGATTCCCGGATTCCACGGTGGAATTCACTAAGGCCCACAGGAGAAATACTCTCCAGTCCAGGGGAAACATTTCTTGAGTGTTTTCCAACAGCTGGGAAGCCAGGTTTGAAAAAAAGAAAAAGAAAAATGGGATGTCACTGAATTGAGAGCCAGGGGTTATCATTAATTAATCAATGGACCTCAAAGGAGGCCCGAGATAATTTCCCTCTGCTAAATGTCTTCTTGATGGACCTCAAGATGTCCTCTTTTGACCACGGTGGTCTCCAAACGGACTTATTCCACCGCGGAGGGTGGAATATAAAACCAGTAGAGGAAGTCCTTGACTTATGGCCAGAGGTGGATTTCAGCCGGTTCTGACCGGTTCTGGAGAACAGGTAGCGGATATTTTGAATAGTTCGGAGAACTGGTAAATACCACCTCTGACTTGCCCCACCCACCCCATCTATTCTCTTCCTCCCGAGTCCCAGCTGATCGGGAGGAAATGGGGATTTTGCAGTATCCTTCTCCTGGAGTGGAGTGGGAATGGAGATTTTACAGTATCCTTCCCCTGCCACGCCCACCAAGTCACGCCCACCAAGTCACGCCCACCAAGCCACACCCACAGAACTGGTAGTAAAAATTTTTGAAACCCACCAGTGCTTATGACCACAATTGAGCCCATAATCTCTGTCACTAACTGAGACAGCTGTTAAGTGAATTTCGCCCCATTTTATAACCTTTCTTGCCACAGCTATTAAGGGAATCATTGCATCTCACCAGGCTCAAGGTTGACTCAGCCTTCCGTCCTTCCGAGGTGGGTAAAATGAGGACCCAGATTGTTGGGGGCAAGAGGCTGACTCCATAAACTGCTTAGAAAGGGCTATGAAAGCCCTGTGAAGTGGTATATAAGTCTTAAGTGCTATTGCTGTTTGTTTCAGTTAGCAACACGGTTGTTAAGTGAATCTGGCTTCACTTGCTTGTCAGCAGGTCGCAAAAGGGGATCACATGACCGCAGGACACGGCAATATGAGCCGAATTTTGGTCACGTGTCCATGAAGCCAGAACTGGTCATAAGTTACTTTTTTCAGTGCCGTTGTAACTTCAGTCACTAAATGAACCGTTAAAAATCAAGGGCTACCTGCAGGAAACTTCGTGGAGTTAAAAATCAAAAGAGAAAACTGAGATGAAGCAACTGAAAAAAAGAAACGACGACAATCAGGAAACCCAGTTAAAGCCTGCAAGTCTTGTGTTGCTCATCTCTATGCCCTCAGTTAAGGTTGGAACCCCTTCCCCACTCCCCACTCCCCCTCCCTGCCATCAAAAGACCCTTGAGATACAGATTAACAGAGTTGGGAGGGACCTTGTAGGTCATCTAGTCCAATCCCCCAATCCAAGCAGGAGACCCTACACCATTTCTGTCAAATGGCAGTCCAGTCTCTTCTCGAAAGCCTCCAGGGATGAAGCTCCCGCAACTTCTGAAGGCAACTTCTGTTCCATCGGTTGATTGTTCTCACTGTCAGAAAATTTCTCCTTATTTCCATGTTGAATCTCTCCTTGGTCAGTTTCCATCCATTATTCCTTGTCTGGCCTTCAGGTGCTTTGGAAAATAGCTTGGCCCCCTTCCTCCTCTCTGGGGCAGCCCTTCAAATATTGGAAGACTGATATCATGTCTCCCCGGTCCTTCTTTTCGCTAGACTAGCCATGCCCAGTTCCTGCAACCGTTCATTGTAGGTTCTAGTCTCCAGACCTTAGATAGATTCAGATTAACAGAGTTGGAAGGGACCTGGTAGGTCATCTAGTCCACCCCACCCCACCCAAGCGGAAGACCCTACACCATTTCTGACAGATGGCAGTCCAGTCTCTTCTTGAAAGCCTCCAGGGATGAAGCTCCCACAACTTCCGAAGGCAACTTCTGTTCCATGGGTTGATTGTTCTCACCGTCAGAAAATTCCTCCTCATTTCTAGGTTGAATCTCTCCTTGTTCAGATTCCATCCATTATTCCTTGTCTGGCCTTTGGGTGCTTTGGAGAATAGCTTGACTCCCTCCTCTCTGTGGCAGCCCCCCAAATATTGGAAGACTGCTATCCTGTCTCCCCTGGTCCTTCTCTTCACTAGACTAGCCATGCCCAGTTCCTGCAACCGTTCTTCGTATGTTTTAGCCTCCAGTCCCCTCATCATCCTTGTTGCTCTCCTCTGCACTCTTTCTAGAGTCTCCACATCTTTTTTTATAGTGTGGCGACCAAAACTGGATTCAGGATTCTAAGTGTGGTCTTACTAAGGCGTTATAAAGCAAATTTGGAAACAAGGAGAAGAAAAAAGTCATACAGGATTACTATAGACAACTGTATGAACAGGAAAAGATAGAGGAGGAAAATGTGATACGATATCTTCAAAATGCAAATTTACCTCGGATTCCTAAAGATATTGAGGAGATGCTAGAGGGAAATATAACGATGTTGGAACTAACTGAAGCAATTAAAAAAAAACAAAAGAATGGGAAGGCACCACGGCCAGATGGATTGCCAGCGGAATATTATAGGACATTTCAGGATTCTTTTGAGTCTCCCACTTTTAGAACTTAGGAATGAAGTGATGACGAAGAAGGAAATACCCAAGTCATGGTCAGAGGCATATATTACATTGATTCCCAAGGAGGACACCGACCCACAACAAATCAAAAACTATAGACCTATATCCCTGCTAAATTCAGATTATAAAACGTTTGCTTCAATACTGGCAGAAAGACTCAAAAGATATTTAAATGATTTTATACATTCAGATCAGGATCACAGGAACCTTTTGTGCGACTGGTGATAAAGATCGGATCCTGGGAACCAGCCTGGTTTTAGATCTCCTCCTGCCCCTGTTAAAAGCTCCCAGGTTGCTTTTTTCAAACCGCTCCGTGGGGAATTCTCCAGCACGTCTCTGCTGTGTCTCGGTGTCCAGTTTCCCTAACAATGAGCCGAGTTGTGTTTGTGGCAGATTTTCCTTGATGCATTTTTGGGAAGGTTTGAAATTACCTGGCGGCGCGGCTTAACAAACCCTACCTTTCACAGACACCTGTGCGCAGGGGGCCCCAATTTTCTTAGAGGCAAAGTTTTCGATTTCAAACCACTGTATTTCCCAAAAAAGTAGACCTTAGAACCGTTCGTTTAACAACCAAACTCCAAAAAATCCCCTCAGAAAAGTGACTTATTACCAGGTTTCACACGGACGACCGTTGCAGCATTCCCACGGACATGTGATCCGAATTGCGATGCTTGGCGCAATCCCGGGGTCACGTGATCCCCGTTTGTGACCTTTTCGAGTCGGTTTCCAACAAGTAAAATGAACGGGGAGATCAGATTCGTTTAACGACCGCACGATTCGCTTAACAGCTGTAGCGATTTGCTTAACAACTGTGGCCAAAAAGGTCATCAAATGAGGCGCGACTCACTTAACAAGGGAAATTTTGGCCTTGGTTGTGGTTACAAACAGAGGACTAGCTGTGTTCCTTGTGCAATGGTGTTTCACCTTTAATTGCAAATTATTGTTTTCCTGTCCTTTGGAAGATCAGGAGGGAAGGATTTTTATATTTGTTATTTCTTGGAATTGTTTACAAATTGCTTTCTGCCCAGCCTCAGGTGCAAAGCCTACTCTTTAAAAAAAAAAAACAACAGGTACAAGAAAAGCTACAAAGATTTTAAAAAATGGCAACAAGGAAAGTAAAATTAAAAAGATTCCTTTCAGAATGCATGGCCACATTTTCCCTTAGGGAAATCAGACCAGAGAGAGAGGCAAGTTCAAATTATTAGAAAATAATTAAAAATAAGAGTTATTTGAAATAGGAATTCGAATTAGGTCCTTCCTGTGGCACTGCCTATTCAAAAGTCTTCCTCTCTGCTCAAATATGCTTTTTTTGCATCAGGAAGTTTGCAGAAGGCAGAATATAAGCTGTTCAACTACCATGCCATGTTGGCTGGGGAATCCTGGGAGTCCTTATATCTTATAAGCATCCTAACTGGGGAATTCTGGGAATTGAAGTCCTTACATCTTATAAGCATCCTAACTGGGGAATTCTGGGAATTGAAGTCCTTACATCTTATAAACATCCTGACTGGGGAATTCTGGGAGTTGAAGTCCACGCATCTTGAAGCGGCTGAGATAACCATTGATGCAAAGGATTTTCAAGTCTCTCAAACACAGGTATCACTTTAGGGATTGATTTCATGAAGGTTGATGTGCTTTTCACGTGAGAGCCGATGCCAACTCTTCTTGACATCCTAAGGCCTTTGCCGACGAGCTGCATTTCCAGGAGCCGCTGCTACAACCTTGCAAACAACCTTCCAAGTTGCTAGTCCTCAACCTTTTTTTTCTCCAGGTAATATCCCCCCTGTGATTGACCTGGTGTTAGTCATTTAGAGCTGAAGAATCTAAGAAAACTCTGGATTTTGTGTTTTCTCACTTTTCGTCTTGAGGGGATGTTTCTGACAGGCAACCAAGGGAGTTGCATTTTTTAAGCTGGTTTGGTGGTCCCTTGCTTAACCGCAAGGGTAGTAAACAGACCTCAAATCTCAGCTGGAGTTACAAAATTTGCTAACTTCCAAACCATTGTTAACAGGACACAGTGTATGAATTCACATGAATCTAGGAAACCACAAACATGACTGTAGTGTATGAATCTAGCTACGTGATCCTTTAATCTCTTAAAAAATCCCACGTGAAAAAAAAACCAGCTTGATTGCTTACATTTTTTCTGTGGATGCCTTTGGAAAACATTATTTTCCTAACCCTGCTCCTTAAATTTCTCCTTCTCTTCATTAGTTGGGAAAGGAGGGAGAAAATGAATTGCGAACATCTATGCTGTTCATCGGAAGAAACTTCATTCTTTGTACGTCTGGAAAACTCTCTTATTTAACATCCAGTAGAAAAATAAACTTTTTAAACTATAAAGGGAAATCAGAGGATTTTGCTGCTCTGTTTTTGAACAGTTCACCATTCAATCATCTGGGGCAGGGGGAACCCCCCACCTTTATCCTTTGTCTCGGTAACCCCCCTCAAAAGCATCAAGCTATTATCAGACAGAATGAAATCCCAAGGATGAAACTTGCCAACATCA